TCGGTTCGGCGGCAGGCGCCGCACGATCCCGACCGACGTCGCCCGCACCGGGCCAGTCGTTCATGCAGCCGCCGCCGTCCGCCCAGCAGCGCCCTCGCAGCCCGTCGATCCCGTACATGCAGCCCTCGGCCCAGTCGCGCCCTCACTCGCGGGCAGGGTCGAACGTCTCGGCGGCGCACCTCACGTCGCCGCCGCCGTCGGGCCAGCTCGCGCACCGTCCGGCGTCGCCTTCTCAGCACGTCCCGGCTCGTGGACGGTCGCCGAGCCCGCAGCCGCACATCCCCGAGTCGCTGCGACCTGCGTCGCCGAACCCGGCGATGCAGGCTCAGCAGCAGCAGCAGCAGCAGCAAGCCCGGTCGCGCGCGCCCTCGCCGCACCAGCCTGCTCTCGGCTACGGCGCGCCTCCTCCTCAGCAGCAGCAGCAGCAGTACGGCGCGTCGCACGGCTATGGCGCTGCCCCGGCGCCGCAGCAGGCGCTGTACGGTCAACCCGCCGTCGCCGCCGCGAGCAACTACGGGCACGGCCGAGCCACCTCGCCTGCTCCTCAAGGTCACGGCGCGCCCTACCATCAGCCTTCGTCTACTCGGCAGTCGTACATGGCCCAGGCGCCGTCGCAGGCCCAGCTTTACCAGTCGCCGCCGCCGTCCGCCTCGCCGTACCAGCACGCGCCTCCCCCTCAGCAGCAGCACGTCCCACCGACCGCCTACGGCTACGGCCAGCCTCCTCAGCAGCAGCAGGTGTACGCGCGCTCGCCCTCGGTCGTCGGCGGGTACGGCTCGCCGGCCTCGTCGGCTCCTCTCGGCCGCACCAACAGCATGTTGAGCGGCGTCTCTGGCGCCTCGACGCAGCCGTCGCAGGTGTACCAGGCGCCTCCTGTCCAGCAGCAACCGGTCCAGCAGCCGGCGCAGCAGGCGCGACCGCCGAGCGTGGCGGGCCAGGCGCAGCAGCCGCCGCCGACTGGTCAACACACCGAGACGGGCCAGCCTATCCTCTTCTACGTGCGTCCCGCTTCCCCTTTGCGCCTCGAAAAATGTCGAGCAGCACTAATGCTGCGCACGAGCGCTTCGTTTGCCCACGCGCGCAGGTCAACGCCCTGTACGACTACGCCGCGACGTCGGCCGAGGAGTTCTCGTTCTCGACGGGCGACGTCATCGCCGTCACGGGCACCGACGTGCGTCCCCTATTCCTCTCCCTCTACTAGCGAGCCTGCGAAAGACGAAGCGCCTGACCTCTTCCTCGACCTTGCCTCGCAGCCTGACGGTTGGTGGCACGGACAGCGGGTCGGCGACCCTGGTTCGAGCAAGCTCTTCCCGTCCAAGTGAGTCCTTGCTTTGCTCTTTTTCCTCGAGCGGTCGTCGCAGGGACTTACCTCGTCGCCTCGTCCTCGCGCCCGTCCCGCAGCTTCACCGAGGTGCGTCTCCCTCCTCGACGCCGACCACTGCGCTCGTCTCTCTCGTCGTACTGACACTGCCTTGCGTCCACTTGCAGCTCTTGCCGTGATCCGTACGGACGTCGACCCGCCTTCCTTGCCCTCGACGACGAGCTCGCCCGCCTCCCTTGTCGTAGACACTCTCTCTCTTTGATTCGCTCGAGCCCCTCTTGTATTGCGACACCGTAGACCACACTCTAGGAGAGCTTCGACGCCTGCATCCTGCGCTGAAAGCGGCAGCCTGGAAAGTCGAGTCTCAGCTTTCTGCCCCACACTGAGCCGCCCTCAGCTGGGAGTGGGAGGAGATGCTCCCTCTCGCCCTCACCGCTCGCCGCCCTGCTGCCTGCGATGCGCCGGACTCCCTCGAGGAGCAACCTCGACGACGAGCTGCCCTCGGCCCGGCACCACACCCGCGCGTCCAGCAGCGGCCACAACTACGTTCCGCTCAGCTCCGCCCAGGACAACCGCGCTCCTCTCCCGACCCTGCCGAGGCTGCCGCCGCCTCGAGGACGACACTGGCGACCATCTCGATCGACCCTCCTGTGGGCGTGCGCGACCGCCGCCCTCGTCGTGTACTATCAGCTCCGACTCAAGGAGCTCACGGCGTCGGCTCAAGCTCTCCGCACCCTCGCCAACACGCCGACAACCCGTGCGCCCATCCTGGTGGCCTCCTCAAGCACGGCGGCGACGGTCGACGGGTTCGCCGTCCTCAACGAGACGCTCCCGGCCCTCGCGACCTCGTCGTGCGAGGTGTGCCACCTCAACCCAGCCAACCCGCTGTGCGAGTACGGCTACGACAACATCCGCATGTCGCGAGCGTACGAGGGCAGCGGTGCGCGCCTGCGCAAGGTGCTCGCCAAGGCGTTGCGCGGCGAGGAGGTCGTCGTCTCGGTCCTCGGCGCGAGCATTACCGCCGGGCACAGTGTCCCGCCGGGCTATCAGCGGTGGCAGGACCGCTTCTTCGACGACTGGAAGAAGATGTTTCCGAATTCAAAGATGAACGTTGGGGCAGTGGGCGCGATGGACAGCATGGTGAGCCAGAAGGGAGGGAGGAGGACGAGGTCGGCGAACCGCAACTTACTCTCGCCCACGTCCGCAGTTCTTCTCGTTCTGCTTCGGCGCTCTCGTGCCCGAGGAGTCGGACCTGTTCCTGGTCGAACTCGACATCAACAACGAGCCGTGCGTCCCTGCCTCTCTCTCGCTCTCGGTCCTCTCCCCCTTCCCCCGGCTCACCTCTCTCTCTCTTCCTGCAGCGCGCTCGACACGCTTCGGGACGACGACGCCCTGATGCGTGGTCTTCTACAGCTGCCGCAACAGCCGGCCGTCGTGCGCGTCTCGGCCTTCCAGATCATCTTCGAGGAACTCGCGCGAGGAATCCTGTCGTGCCTCACGACCTCGCAGTACTTTGACGTGCCGGTCATCGGGTGCGTCGTCTCTCACACGCTCTTCCCTTCCGTCTCGACGTCGACCTCACGCTTTGCCTCGTCGCCCGCAGTATCCGCAACTTCCTCTTGCCGCACGTTCAGCATCATCGAGAAGACGCCGAGGTCATTTTCGGGTTGGACCAGTGGGGCGATCGAGACTATGTGCGTGTCCTCTCTCTCGTCGACGAGTGCGACGAGGTCACGCCGTACCCTGCCTGACGCTGCTCCCTCGCAGCGCCACATCTCCGAAGTCGGCCACGCGAGCCTCGCCGACATGCTCTCGCTGTACATGCGCAAGGAGGTGTGCGAGACGCAGCGCCGAGCACTTCTACCTGCACCACCTGCCCGCAAGACTGGGCCTTGGCCGACCGAGGAGGACGCCGGCAAGATCCCACCGCTCGAGGTCTACAGCTCGGTGCGTCCCAAGCTCTCTCGCTGGCCTCCCGCACGCCGAACTGACTCGATCTCTCTTCCTGGCAACAGTGGCGCATCCCTACCCCACCAGAACCCGTCATCCCGCACTGCCAGACGATCTACAGCGACGAGCCGCTCGTCCCCGTCCAGCACACGGACGACTTTACCCGCATCGAGTGGCACGGCAAGGCGGCATGGTCCTCGTCTACGCCTGGCGGCCAGATTCGCTTCAAGTTCAAGGGCACCAAGGTCGGCCTGTTCGTCTGGGTCACGAGCGGGACGAGCAACCCGCAGGAGAAGAGCACCGACCTCGCCGTTCGGGAGCGCGAGGCGCCGGGCATCGCGAGCTGCTGGGTCGAGGAGATGCAGGAGGACGGCGAGGGGTGGCTCGTCAAGCCTGACGGCGTCCTCGGCGGGCGCGAGGTCAACTCGCACGTCTCGTGGAAGCCGGCGCCGCAGTCCGAGTCCGTCCCTTTTCTCTCTTCCTCCCCTCCTCCTCGTCCCTCGATGACTGACTCGAACTTCTCCCTACAGCTTCGTCAACATCGCCAAGGACCTGGGCCCGGGAGAGCAGTGCGTCCCTGCTCCCTTCCTCCAGTTCGACCGACCTGACCTTCTTCCTCTCCTCTTTCCGTCCCTCTCTCTCGCCCGCAGCATTCTCGCCTGCGAAGTCCTCCCCGTCACGACGTCTGGAGGGTACAAATGGAGGCTACAAGGAGTCGCGTCGCAATAGATCCCGCGTTCCTCATCATCTCGTCGTCGCGCGCTCGCCGAGGTCGTTTTGAGAAGGTCAACTCGCTCGCTCGCGCTCGACTTTGTTTTCCTCTTCTCGCCTCGCGTGCGTCGAGTTCGACGAGCTTCTGCGACGTGCGTAACGAGGAATGCCTCGCACGATTGTCGCTCATTCATCGGATCGGAACCTTGCGCTCGTGGGCAGTCGTCGCGTCGGGTCGCGGCCGAAGCGCTCTCCGAGCTGCGGAATCACAAACCTGAGAACGACCTGTCCTTCAGCATCCTCGCCTCCTTCCGCACGCCCTCGCAGACGCGCCCGCTCGTCGTCCCCACCTCGACAGCGTCCTCGACCCGCCAACATGGGAGGCGCCATCGAGCTGCTCTCGCCTCCGTCGTCGCCGGTTCCAGGCCGGCCGTCGTTCGCCCCTCGCACTCGTTACCGACCCTCTCTTACGACCGTCGGCTGGATCCTCCTCTACGCCGCCACCTTCCTCGTCTACCAGCATCAGCTTCGCGCCGGCGGTCCGAGCGGCCCCACCTCGACCTCCCTCTCGCTCAGCGACGCCGCCGGCTCGTCGCTCGCGACGACGTCGTGCGAGGTCTGCCACCTCGACCCTTCGAACCCGTTGTGCGAGTACGGGCTCGACAACATCCGCACGTCGAGGGCATACGAGGGAAGCGGCGCGAGGCTGCGGCGGGTCCTGCAGCGCGCTCTCGCCGGCGAGGAGATCGAGGTCGGGGTCATCGGCGCGAGTGTGACGCAGGGTCATGGGCTGGCGCCGGGCAAGCAGCGGTGGGAGGACCGGTGGTTCGACGACTTTCGCGCGCTCTTCCCCAAGGCCAAGATGCACGTCGGCGCGGTTGCGGCGACCGACAGCCGAGTACGCCCACGCTCTCCTCGTCGTCAGTCTACGACATGAGCTCACTCGTGCACGCTCGCAGTTCTTCTCGTACTGCTTCGAGGCCGTCGTTCCTCGCGACCTCGACCTTTACCTCGTCGAGCTCGACGTCAACAACGCGCCGTGCGTCCCGCTTCCCTTCCCCCCTGTGGCTCTCTTTCCTCGCCGGCACTGACCTTTGTACGTCTGCAGAGGCCCTCAAACTCTTCGCGACGACGACGCCCTGATGCGCGGGCTCCTTCAGCTCCCGCAAGAGCCCGCCGTCGTGCGCATCTCGGCGTTCACGACCATCTTCAACGAGCTCGCTCGAGGCGCCATCAGCTCCCTCATCACGTCCCAGTTCTTCGACGTGCCCGTTATCGGCATCCGCAACTTCCTCCTTCCGCAAGTGATCCGCCACCGCGAGACGGCCGAGGAGCTCTTCGGCCTCGACCAGGGCGGTCACCGCGACTATGTGCGTCGAGCGTCTCTCTCCTCGACGACCCTCTCGCGCCCATCTGACTCGTCTTGGTCGTTCTGCAGCGCCACATTGGCCACGTCAGCCACGCGGCAATGGCCGACATGCTGTCGCTCTTCATCCGCAAGGAGGTGTGCGAGGCGCAGCGCCGAGCCGTCATGCCGCCTTCGCCAGCTTTCGAGAAGAGCGGACCGTGGCCCGGCGAGGCAGACCAGGGCAAGGTGCCCGAGCTGGCGCTGTGGAGCTCGGTGCGTCCCTCGTCCACCTTCCGTCGTCGTACTCGGCATCCCGCCGCTCACGCCTCGTCGAATCTCTCCTCTCGCAGTGGATCAACCCGGAGCCTCTCGTGCCCGTGACGCCCATGTGCCAGTCGACGATGTGCCCGCTCTCGCCGCTCCAGGTCCTGTCGCACTCGCCGACGTTCGAGTTCGTCACCTGGAACGACAAGCACGCTTGGGCCTCGTCGACGCCGGGCGCCCAGATCCGCATAAAGTTCCGCGGCACCAAGGTCGGCGTGTTCGTCTACGCCTCGAACGGCCGAGGCGCCGACGAGGCGAGCGCCGACCCGGCCGTGCGCAAGGTCCACGCGCCCGGTCAGGCGCTGTGCTGGGTCGAGGAGCCCGACATGACCGAGGACGAGTGGCGCGAGAGGTACGGCGGCGACAACGTCGAGGAGGAGAAAGATGGACCGGCGGCGGCGCAGACCTGGTTCGTCACGACGCACTGGCCGAACAAGCCGGCGCCGCAGCCCGAGTTCGTCGAGATGGCCGAGGGGTTGGACGTGGGCGAGCAGTGCGTCCACCTTCTCACTTCCTCTCTCGCTCTCTCTCGCTCTCGTACTGACGTCGACTCGTTCTACAGCGTCCTCGCCTGCGAGGTGTCCAAGGAGACAACGTCGGGTGGTCACCTTTGGCGCATCATGGGCATCGCGAGCCAGTGACCTCGTCGTCGGCCGCTGCGCATGAAGGGTTGTAGAGCTATCACCTGTACGAGTACATGCAGTTGCAGATAGTCTTTGTCATCGCGAGCGAGCGAGCAAGCGAGAGGAAAGCCGGCTTTCTCAACTTGGGAAGGTCGACAAGGAAGCGCTTGCTCGTCTTTCTCTCGACGGCTCGCACAGCTTGAGCGGACGAGAGATAGAGAGGACACGAGTTCTTGCTTTGCTTTGCGTGCTGCGACATCGCGAGTCTACAAACCCTCGAACACCTCGGCTTCGATCCTCTTCCTCCCCTCCTCAAAGTAGCTCTTGACGCCCGGTGCGACCGTCGCCATCGCCTCGCGCCCGACGTACCGCAGCTTGACGCCGCGAGGAAGCACCTGCTGCACGCGAGGCGCGACGAACGTGTACGCGCCGGCGTTCGACGGCTCGTCTTGCGCCCAAATGAGGGAGCGCGCCGTCTTGCGGAACGGGTCGAGAGCGGCCGACAGGGCGGCATACGGGAAGGGGGAGATCTCCTGCGCGCGAGAGAACGAGGGGCGGCATGACAAATGTGAGGGTGAGCACTCGATCGAGGTCGAGAGAGACAAAGAGGAAGAGCGGGCGCACCTCGAGGCGGATGAAGACGATCTTGCCGTCGAGCCCGTGCTCCTGGCGCTCCTTGACGAGCTCGTAGTAAAGCTTGCCCGAGAGGATGACGACGCGCTCGACCTTGCTCGGGTCGTCGACGTGCTCCGTGAGGACGGGCTGGAACGACGTGCCCGGCGCCATCTCGGCGAGCGACGATGCGGCGGCCTGGGGCACATGGACGAGGTTCAGTGTCGTGTTTGAGAAAGTATCGGCGAGGACGAGAGAGAGAGGGTCAGGACGCACCGGCAGGCGCAGGATGCCCTTTGGCGAAAAGACGACGAGCGGCTTGCGGTACTCGCGGCGCATCTGGCGGCGCAGGAGGTGGAAGTACTGCGCCGCGGTCGTGACGTTGACGAGGTGCATGTTCGGGACGAAGGGAGAGCGAGTGAGGGGCTCGTTCGTGAGCTGGAGGAAGCGCTCGATGCGGGAACTGCGTGCGGCGAGGAGGGGTCAAGTTCTGAACGACGAGGACCCGCTGTCGAGCCGCATGGACGGCGACGATGAGAGTGAACTCGATATTTGAACTGACCTCGAGTGCTCAGGACCGGCGCCATCTGCGTCGGAAGTAAAAGGCTCGTGAGCCTTCTTAAATTGGGTGACGAGGAGAGAGAGGTAGACTCACCGAAGCCGTGCGGAAGGAGCAGCGTCAAGGCGCTCTGCATGCCCCACTTGGTCTCGCCGCTGCCGAGGTACGTGTCGAGGACGACCTGCGGGCGAAAGATCGAGGTCAGGAAGGTCGCTCGGGCCGCCTCAACTTGAGAAGGTCGAGAGGACGGACCTGCGCCGTGTTGTGAAAGTCGCCGAACTGTGTCCAAGGAAAGAGACGAGGGGTTAGGGTCGGAGGAAGAGGAAAAGAGAAGGAGAGAGAGGGAAAGAGAGAGGGCGCACCTGCGCTTCCCAGATCGGCAGCAGCCTCGGCGACACCCACGCGACGCCCTGCTCGAAGCCGACGACGGCGTACTCGCTCAACGGGCTGTTGACGACCTCGAACGAGCCAACCGGGCGACCCGACGACGTAGATGATGACGCGAGAGGGCGCGAGCCGAGCGACTGGAGCGGGACGGCGACACGCTCCGAGGCTTGGTCGGCGAGGATGGCGTGCCGTTGCGAGAAGGTACCCTGTGGCGCCGACACGAGGGTCAGTACTGGACCTTGACGACGAACCGGGCGGGGACCGAGAGAGAGAAGGTGGACGCACCCTGCCGCTGTCCTGCCCGCACAGACGGATGTGGTCGCCCTCGAGCAGCAGGGACCCGAACGCGAGCGCCTCGGCCGTCGCAAAGTCGAGGCCCTCGCCCTTTTCGAGCGACTGGACGCGCTTGGCGATGTGCATCTTGACCAGGCGAGGGTGGAGCGTCTGCGAGCGAGTCGACACGGGGAGGTGCGGCAAGGATCGTCAGTCAGGGAGGACGCCTTGAGGTCCGGCCACATGGGCCAAGCGTAAGACTGGATATGGGAGGGGAAAGGAGAGGAGGGATGGCGAGATGAGGGACGCACAATGTCGCTCGGCGCCTCGACGCTCCTCATGCCGACCTCGCGCAGGACCTGCTCGTCGACGCCCGTCTCGACCGGCTTCTCCCACTCGCCCTCGACAGGCCACCGCATGTCGCCCCACCCTCGAGGCATGGGCAGCTCGGGCGGCGTGAACTTGGTCGGGTCGGCCTCGGGGATGACGGCGTCGAGAGCGGCCAGGTGCGACGAGCGAAACGAGGCGGCGTCCGACGACGACAGGACCGACGAGGCGACGAGGTGGTCCTCGTACAGCTTGGCGACCGACGGCAGGTTCTTGATCCGGTTGTACATCGTCGGCGACGTAAAGGCGGGCTCGTCGAGCTCGTTGTGGCCGCGTCGCCGGTACACGATCAGGTCGATGACGACGTCCTTGCGGAACTTGCGCTGGTACGCGAGGGCGAGCTTGACGGCGCGCGCGACGTCGTCGGGCCGGTCGCCCGTGACATGCACGATCGGGGCCGAGATCATCTTGGCGAGGTCGGTCGCGTAGAAGCTCGAGCGGCTCTGCGTCGAGGCCGTGGTGAAGCCGATCTGGTTGTTGACGACGACGTGGCACGTGCCGCCTCCAGCAAAGTGCGGCAGGTTGGCGAGGTTGAGCGACTCGGCGACGACGCCTTGACCGCCGAATGCGGCGTCGCCATGGATCGAGACGCTCAGGACGCGCTCGCCGAGCGAGTCGGTGTCGCTGAACGGGACCTGGAGGGCGCGCGCAAAGCCGAGGGCGACGGGCGTAACCGTCTCGAGGTGCGACGGGTTGGGCAGGAGGTGGACCGTGAGCGGGTCGGCGGCGCCAGGGGGGGTGTAGGGCGTGGTCGTGAACAGGTGCGACAGGACGTCGTCGGTGAACTGGGAGGCGGGGAACGATGGCGGGAGAGTAGGGAGGCCGCGCATCTTGCGGATGAGGAGCTTCATGTCGAGGTCGAGGAGCTGGGTGAGGAGGTTGAGGCGGCCGCGGTGAGGCATGCCGAGGACGACGTCGTCGACGCCCACCTTCTTGGCCTCGTTGAAGAGCGTCGCGCAGACGACCATCATGGCCTCGCCGCCCTCGAGGCCGTAGCGCTTGACGTTCGGGAACCGCTTGGCGAGAAAGTGGTCGAGGTTTTCCGACTTGGCGAGGAGCTGCCAGTGCGCGACTTGCTCCTCGGGCTCGAGAGGCTTGGCGTGCGACTGCTCGAGCATCGTCTCGAGGAACCGGCGCTCGTGCTTGCTCGGGAGGTGCATGAACTGCGCGGCGGGCCGGGGAGAGGGGTGTGAGCGCGTGCGCGAGGTCTCTGGGGACGCGACGGCGGATCGAGCGCACGCGTGCGAGGGAGCGAGAGGCCGTGCGAGAGGGCGTGCTTTGAGGGAAAGTGGCAGAGAGGGAGCGGGAAAGAGGGAGACAGGGGGAGAGAAGGGGGAAGAGAGGAAGTGAGCACGCACCTCGTAGGCGATGCCGCCGCAGTAGACTTCGGCGAGGCGAGTCGCGATCTCGTCCATCGTGCGCTCCTCGGACGTGCCGCCGGTGCTCTTGGGGAAGTCGAGGATGCCCTCGACGTTGAACTTGTCGCCCTCGGCGCTGACCTGCTCGAGCGGCTTGACGTCGCTGACGAACTCGTCGCGCAAGTTGGCCGCCACGTCGCTCGACAGGGTGAAGCCGTACCGTCTCGGGTCGAGGGCGGGAACGTTTGGCCGCTTGGCGAGGTCGAGCGGGTCGACGAGGGCGGCGCGGTGACCATGGCGACGGTAGCTCTCGACGAGGCGGAGGAGCGAGGCGTTGCGGGCGCGGTTGGCGAGCTCTTGAGGGCTGAAGTCGGGCAGGGTGAACTCTTGCGGCGCCTGGTAGCCCCAGACGCCCTGGTCGTGCAGGGTGCGGCAACCCGAAGCACCTCGCGGGAGACGGAGGCGACGGGGCTGGGGGCGCAGGCGGAGCATGGTGTCGGCTCGACGGGGCTGTGGCGAGGGCGACGGGCGGTGCTGTGCCGTGCGTCGAGTCGCGGACGAGCAAGAAGGAGAGCGAGAGAGAGGCGGACGAGGACAGGGAGCGAGCGAGTTCGAGCGGCCCCACACGCCGCAATCTCGTCACGTGAGTCTCGCAGATCTACTTGGCCGTCTCGCACACGCTTTCCGCTCCACGCGCAGAAGCCGCTTACGGTCTGGCCTCGTAGTACCGTAGCGCGAGCGCGCGGTAGAGGAGGCGGCAGCGGCACCACCGAGTGACCTCTGCCTCGGCGTGGTTTCTCTCTGGCCTGTGATGGTCTCGTTACTGCTGGATCGATGCACCGAAAGCAGCCGGCAGCTTGTACAGCGACGAGGCGAGCGAGAGGAGGCACCCGCCGCCGTCATCGTCGTCCAACCCGCTCCTCCTCCTCGCTCCTCCTCCACCACCCGCCCTCGCTCGAGCGACTGCGAGACTTGCTTCACACGACCCAGCACCCTCATCAACCCACCCTCGACATGTCCTCGTTCTTCGGCAAGGTGCAGGCGATGGGCTCCAAGGTCGGCGCCCAGGCGGCCCAGTTCGGCACCCAGGTCGTCGCAGAGGCCCAAGCCGGTTCGACAAAGGCCATGACGGGCTTCAAGCTCGAGAACGAGACGCTCAAGGCCGCCCGCATCCTCCAGGCCTTCCTCGCCGACCCGCACCACCCCGAGTCGGCCCTAAACGCCATCCCCAAGGAGGTCCTCGCCCGCGCAAAGGGCCTCGCCATCTTTACCGTCCTCAAGGCCGGCTTTGTCTGGTCCGGCAAGGCCGGCTCGGGCGTCGTCATCGCCCGCCTCGCCGACGGCACCTGGTCCGCCCCGAGCTGCATCGCGACCGGCGGCGTCGGCTTTGGCCTCCAGATTGGCGCAGACCTGAGCGAGTTTGTCGTCGTCCTCAACTCGGACGAGGCCCTCGCCGCCTTTGCAAAGGGCGGCAACGTCACGATCGGCGGCCAGCTGTCCGTCCCTCTTCCTCCCCCTCCTCTTCCACGGCCTCGCGCTCACCTGCCCTCGCCCCTCTCGCAGCGGTGCCTCGGCGGGCCCTATCGGTGTCGGCGGCGCTGTCAACACGGCGCTCCTGCGCCCGACCCCGATGTTCACCTACTCGAAGAGCCGCGGCTTGTTCGCCGGCGTTTCGCTCGAGGGGACGGCGCTGATTGAGCGGGTGCGTCCTCCTCTCTTCCCTCTCGACATGGCCCCTTCTGACGGTCATTCTCGCCCTTGCGCGACCGCAGAAAGACGCCAACGAGGCGTTCTACGGCCAGGGTGCGTCCCGCTCTTTCTCTCTGTCGACGAGCAGCGGCGAGGACGTTTTCCTGACCTCGATTTCGTCACACAGCTATTCCTGCCGTCGACCTTCTCTCGTGAGCTCATTCTCTGAGGTCGACCAGAACGGCCGCACGTGCGGCGGAACGCGCTGACCCTCTCTCTACGTTGCTGCAGCGGCAAGGTCCCGCCTCCTGAAGCCGTGCGTCCTCGTCTCTCCCTCTCACGACCTCCTGCAGCCCTTTACTGACCTCAGTCTGTCGCTCACGCAGGCATCGGCGCTGTACGAGACGATCGAGGCCGCCGAGTCGATCGACGAAGCCGGTCTTCCGGACCAGGCCTACGTCGTTCCCGAGGGCCAGCTCGGCGGCACGGCGCCGCTCGACCCGGCGACGGGCAGTGCGGGTCCGCCGACGAGCCAGGGCCAGAAGCTGTTTGACGCGACGGGCGCGCACTGAGGCGTTCCGTCGTCGTGGTCGAGCCTCTTTCTCCCTTTTCTCGTCGTGTCGTCCCTCCTTTAGATCTGTGCCCCTCGCTCTCTACAGCTTCGTGCAATGTATCACTGGCCGTCTCTCACCGAGAGTGCGCGAGAGAGAGCTCGCCGTGGCAATTGGCACGAGCGGATTCGCTCGGGCGACTCTCGTCTTGTCCTCACCCTCTACGTCGCTCGACTCTTCCCCTTTGAGGTGCGCCCGGCGTGCTGCTCTCTGGAACCCTACGAGCACCGCAGGACTGACCTGCTCGTCGCCCTTGCCGCAGCTCACCCTCGCCTTCCCCACATCGCCCGACTCGACCTCACCGCACCTCTCACTCTCTCGCAAAGCATCATGTCGGTGAGTCGAGCGGATCCAGCACCTTTCGGGATTCTCTTCTGCCCCCTCGAGCGGCGGCGCGGCGCCCTGTGCCCCCTAGCATCGCTGACCATCTTGCCCCCACCCTCCCACTTTGCCACCCTTCCGCCCTCTCCTCGCAGACCACCATTGTCTGCGGCGTCAACTGTGCGTCAGACCCTCTTTGACATCCCTCTCCGAAGGGGCCATGCCCATCCCGCTGACCCCTCGCTCTCCCACAGGCGCCTGCGCCCCCGCCCAGTCCACCCCGGCCGCTTGCAACGCGCGCGACTCGTGCGCCTACGCCAAGGACGGCTCGTGCGCGTGCGGCGGTACGTGCTCGGCGAGTCAGGCCAAGAAGGGCTGCGCAAAGGCCGCGTCGGTGCGTCGCGCTCGTTTCCTCTCTTGCACGCACGCGCATGCTCTCTGCCGGTTGCTGGCGGCGCGCGGTGCGTATGTCGGAGGAGAAAGGGCCTGACGATACTTCTGTGCGCACAGGGCGAGTGCAGCTGCGCGCCCGGAACCTGCGCTGCGGCCGAGAGCGCCCGTGCCACTTGTGGCACCAAGAAGGACGGCGGCTGTAGCTGCGCTCCGGGCCAGTGCCAGGCCGGTGCGTCTTACGTCCTCTCCTTTGACGCAGCACGAGCTGGAACCTGACTCTGCGCTTGACCCTGCAGCCGGCTTCTCTGCCTGAGCGGCCTCTCGAGCCCTCGCCTCTCATCGCCACGTCTTCTCTCTCCCTCTCTATCTCTCTACGTTCTCGCGAGTCCTGAAACTCAGAGCAGTGTCATCATTCTTGGCATGCGTCAGAGAGACAAGGAAAGAGCGGCAGACTCGCGTCCTTCGCGCTTCGTGCAACGAGGAGCCAGCCGCTCGACGGCGCTCGAGATCCATCCGCAAGGCGTAGCCCAGACCGTCGGCGCACTCGTCGGTGCTCGATGGACGGTGCGTGGCCGCGCCCTTTGCTGCACAGCGGGAGACCGAGCGTCTGCGCCTCGGCGAAGCTGGCGGCGACGCGAGGCTCTTGAGCCATGGCGAGCGAGGAACGGCCGCGCGAGGGCGATGGGCGAGAGCTGGGTCTGGGCGGTACACCGTGCAGGTGCGCGAGCTAGCGCAGCGGTGACTGGCGTTGCCGAGGGCGGGAGAGCCGCGACTCGGAGGAGGAGGAGGAAGAGGAAGCCGCTCGAGGCGCAGCGAGCCCAGGACCGGTACCGAGCGGGCGCAGTCGATCAAGCTGGCGGGCGTCGGACCGTGGTCGGTACGAGCTGCCCAGCCAGTGGCGCAGGGCGAGACGATGTCGACGACGAGATGAAGTCGAACGACCGCGGGCTGCGTGGCGCGGTAGCCGCCTCAGCTGGAGGGGCGCGGACCTGTGCAAGTCGAGGGCACAGACCACAGCTGGCCCTCACGCGACCCGGCAGAAGGACTGCGAGCTGAGCGGGTGGACGCCCTCGACGCGTCGCCGACGCGAGACGGTCGCAGCTCTGCTCCCTCGACGACAGCGACCCATGGCCCCGCTAGCCACGCACGAGCGTCTCATCCTCTTTGCCGACAAGAACGCCGACCCGCCCACCGCGAGCGCCTCCTCGTACCAGCTCCTCGCCCTCCCGCCGGCCCTCCTCGCCCTCGTCACCGTGTCCGCCGAGTCCGCCTCGCCCTCTGCGCCCCTCGAGTTCCGCGGCGACCTACAAGACTCGGCCGTCCTCGTCACCGACACCCAGACCTACGCGGTCCGCGGCGTCCAGAACTCGAACTCGCTCTGCGTGTGCGCGAGCGGCACCGGCGACGCCCCGACCCGAGGCCGCAAGCACTGGTTCGTGCCCGGTGCCGGCGGCGACCAGGGCGACGACCTGCCCGAGGACGACGACGGCGAGCCGGCGCGCAAGAAGGCGCGGCACGACGCCATCGAAATCGAGGCGGTCCTGCACGAGACGCTCGAGGCCGTCCCGGCCGTCGCGCGCACCGACAAGCTCGACGGTCTGCTCAAGGGCGCAGAGTACCTCGGAGATGCCGCCGAGGAGGCCAGGACCGGGCAGCAGGTGCGTCCTCGAGCTCTCTCTGCCCCCAACCTCGCCGCCCGAGGCTGATCCAGTCTGCCGCCCACAGGACGTCCCGCGCTTCACGTTCGACTCGCTCCGAGCCCGCCTTCCAGCTTCCGACGCCGAGATCCGCACCGCCCTGTCCCGCCGCCGTGTCGTCACCCTCGACGACTACCTTCGCCCTCTCCCTCCCTCCTTCCTCCTCGCCGTCCTCCCCTCGGTCCTCTCGACACTGCCCTTGCCCGCCAATCTCGCCCACGGTCCGGCAGCAGCGACCAAGAAGAAGGCCAAGGGCAAGGACGTCAAGCCGGTCGTGCCCGCCGTCGCCGCGAGCGCCCAGCTCCTGCACGCCGAGGCGCTCGAGGTCGACCTCCTTGACGCGCTCGACGCCGTCGACTGCGGCAACGAGGACGTCGCGCGGCAACTGCTCGCGTGGTTCGGCGACCAGGTCGACGTCGGCGGCAAGAAGCGGTGGCGGCTCGACGCGGCGCAGCTCGTCAAGGAGGTCGGGGTCGCTCTTCTCGCCGGTGGAGGGGTGCGTCCTCTTCTCGCCTGTCCTCCTGTCGCGCAGTCTTACCGACACCTTTCTCTTCTCGTCCGCAGTTCGGCCAGCAGCCGCACGACGCGTTCCTCAAGCGCTGGAAAGGCCTCGTCGGTGGCTTTGCGCCGGTCTGCGCGCTCTCGCTCCTCGCCGTACGTCCACGCCTCTCTTTCTCGCCTCCTCGAGGCAGTCCGGCCCCTCTTTCGCCATGTATTGACGACCTTCTCGCAGGGCCTGCACCTGTTCCGCCCGCCGCCCGTCTCGACGATCCAGTACCTTCCGCCCTCGTCCCTCTCGCCCGACCCGGCCGCACGGTTCGCCGAGCTCTTCTCGCTCAAGCCCAAGTGGATCGAGGCCGACATGAGCCTGTACATCGACGACCTGACCGGCGGCGACAAGAAGAAGCGCGACGCGCTCGTCCTCAAGTTCGTCCGCAAGGTCAAGGACAAAGACGCGACCTGGTGGACGGCCCGCAACCTGTGGAGTGCTTAGTCAACGTCGTGGGCTTCGGCTCTGCACCCTGTCCGACCTTGGTGTTCGTCGAGCAACCAGTCGATCGCGTTTTCGGACGAGAGCCCGATGCCCCGGAGAGGCCGCCGGCTCGTCCGCTCGCTCGGCCTCGGCTTCCTCCTCTTTTCTCGCCCGTGTGCGCTCGGGACTTGCGACAGCCCGCCGCCGAGACACCGTGCGTCGGGGCCGCCGCCCGGGCTCTCGCGCTCGAAGCGCCCAGTCAGCAGCGCTCCTCCCGCTCGCCCATCTCGGCGGCTCCGATCGTTGCGCCGAAAGGCCAGCCCGACTCGCCGAGAGCGAGGGCTCGATGACTGCGCCGCCTGTGCACGATCTCGCACGTCGAGAGGCTGTCCTTCTGCTTCTCGCTTCTCTCTACACCCTCTCGCACCACCTCGAGCCAGCGCGACCATGTCTGCCTCACCCGACTCGCCCACCGCGCTCTCCCGCCCCTCGCCGCCTCCTTCGACCCACTCGAAGCACTCGATGCACGCCCCGACGCACTCGACCGGCGCCGACCTGTCGCAGGCGCCGACCGTCGTTGGCAAGCAGCCGCCGACGCCCAAGAAGGACGCCCGTTTCTGGCTCATCTTCGTCGTCCTCTTCTTCTGCTGCTTCCTGTCGGCCCTCGACCTGACGGCCGTCTCGACCGCCTTGCCCTCAAGTGCGTCCTTTTTCGCCCGGTTCCTCGTGAGCGACGAGCGAGGACTGACCTTCCTTTCCCTCCCAGTCGCCGCCGACTTCGAGTCGACGGACGCGACCTGGATCGGCAGCGCCTACGCCCTCACCTCGACGGCTCTCATCCCTTGGAGTCCGTCCCTCTTTCGCACGTGTCCGTGACCGACGCCCGCACTGACCCTCGCTCGTCCACCTGCAGCCGGCGGCCTCGCCGCCATCTTTGGTCGTCGCCCCGTCATGATCGGCGGCATCCTCATCTTCGCGCTCGGAAGTGCCCTCACCGGTGCGGCGCAGAGCATGGCAATGGCGATCGGCGGCCGCAGCGTCCAGGGCATCGGCGGCGGCGCCATCCTGACCATGGTCGAGATCATCATCTGCGACCTCGTCCCGCTCGCCGAGCGAGGCACCTACTTCGGCATCATCGGCGCCGTGTGGGCTCTTGTACGTCCCTCTCGCGAGGGCGACCGGCGGCGAGACGCGCACTGACCCCTTCCTCCCGCCCCTCCTCCTTCTCCTCGAGCAGGCTTCTACTCTTGGCCCGCCCATCGGCGGCGCTCTCGCATCTGCAGGAGCATGGCGCTGGCTCTTCTACCGTAAGTTCACTCTCCCTGCCCTCGATCGAGTCTAGAGAGTCGACGGCGCATCGACGAGCCGCAACTGACCTCCTCCCCGCCTGCTCGCAGTGAACCTTCCCCTCTGCGGCCTCGCTCTCGTCCTCACCTTCATCTTCCTCCGCATTAAGGCCCCCGAGACGACGCTCGAGGAGAAGCTCGAGCAGATGGACTGGTGGAACCTCCTCTTCGTCGCCGCCGCCACGTCGACCATCCTCGGCCTCACTTGGGGCGGCGCGACCTACGCCTGGTCGTCGTACCAGGTCCTCGTCCCGCTCATCGTCGGCATCATCGGCATGGTCGCCTTTGTCGCCATCGAGCGCAAGTACGTCAAGCACCCGACCGTCCCGTTCGACATCCTCGTCCACCGCGACGCCTGGATCGGCTACTTCACGACGTTCCTCCACTCGCTCGTCGTCCTCGCTATCGTCTACTGGCTCCCGGCCTACTTCCAAGTGAGTACGAGCCCACTGCGGATCGTTCACGTCGTCGAGACCTCGGCCCTGACCCTCAGCCCTTCCCTCGCAGATGCGCGGCGCCTCGCCGGTCCAGTCGGGCGCCAAGACGCTCCCGCTCAGCTTCACCATCTCGCCTCTCGCCATCGTGGTCGGCGCGAGCGTCACCATCACGGGCATCTGGGTCCCGCAGAACGCGATCGGCTGGGCCATGGCCACGATTGGCTGCGGCCTCCTCTCGCTCCTCAAGTACGACTCGGGGCGCAACGCGTGGGCAGGCTTGTGCGTCTCTCCTCTCTCTGTCTCTCTCTCTCTCCTCTCCTGTCGTTGTCGGACAGCCCGTCGACCTCGTCCTGAATGAGCGGGCCTGACCCGACCTTTCCTCGTGCAGCTCGGTCGTCGTCGGCATGGGCCTCGGCATGCTCTATTCCGCCACGAACTTTGCCGTCCTCGCTCCGGTCAAGCCCGCGCGTCAGCCGTATGCGGTCCGTCTCTCTCGCTGTCCGAAGCGTGCGCTCGAGCCCCTTACTGACAGTCCTCGCCGCCCGCAGATCACCTTCTACGGGTTCGTGCGCTCTTTTGGCCAGCTCTTCGGCATCGTCATCGGCTCGACCGTCGTCTCGAACCAGCTCCAGAAGAACCTGCCGGCGGCGTACGTCGCACAGTATGGCGAGCTCGTCGGCGACGCGACGTTTGCGCTCATCCCGCAGATCAAGACCTTGTGCGTCTCTCTTGCCCCCTCTCTCACGTCGCGATGCCTCTCACTGACAGTCTCGCACGTCTTGCAGTGCCGAGCCGCTACGTACTGAGGTCCAGATCGCGTTCAACGACGCGCTTGTGACCCTGTGGCAGGTTCTCGTGGGGTTATCGGGCCTTGGTTTCCTCCTCGCGCTCGCCCTCAAGCACATCCCGCTCACGATGGAGGTCGACGAGAGCTGGGGCGTGCAGGTCAAGAAGAAGGAGGGCGGCGTGCAGGGGGCCGAGGAGGAGAAGGTCGGCGCGCTGTGATTCGATAGATGCCTCTTTGTCGTAGTCTCGCTTCTCTAGTCTGTACCTGATCTCGATTCCCCTCGCCTCCCTGACCCTCGTCGTCGCCGTCGTCAGGAATTGCGAGACCGTACTCCTCTGCGCACGCCGCTCGGGCCGCCGCTTTGACCTTCTCAACCGACGTTCGCCCGGACTTTCCGGCGCCTCGAGCGTCCGTCGCCGAAGCAGCTTGCTCTCTCTCATCTCTCGCTCTCGACATCAAGCTGCTTAGCGTGCATTGCCCATGCTGCGATTGCCGCAGCACGCACCGCGCACGAGCCCCCTCGCCGTCCTCCTCCTTGCCTTCGCTCGACTCGCGACGGCCGACGACGACACCGAGGCGCCGCCGGCGAGCTCCTCCTTGGCTGCATTCAACCTCGCGAATGGCTTGGCCGGGGCTATCAGCGCCGCAGGCGAAGTCGCCTCGGCGGCATCCGTGCAGTCTGCTGCGTCGGCGGCGGCGAGTGCGGGCCTGAGCGCGTCGGCAACGGCCACGGCGACGGCCGCGTGGGCGACCAAGACGGCGGGAGGGATGGAGCAGTACACCGACTCGAACGACACGGTCGTGCTGCACGACGACCTGAGCGTGACGTGCGTCGCCTTCCCCTTGCTCAGCTTGGAGGTCGAGGAGCTTTGGCGAGCGAGCTGACCTCGTCTTCCCGCGCAGGTATTCGTGTCCGACAGCGGGCGACGAGTGGGTCGTCGAGCAGCTCACCGACTCGCTGTCGGCGCATACCGCGACGGGAGCCGGCTGCACCGTCGAGTACGCCTTTCAAGGTGCGCCTCCTCCCTCTCTTCCTGCGCGTCGTCCATCTCGTTCCCTTACCTGACTCCTTCGTCCTTCGCAGGTGACGCCGTCCAGATCTGTGCGTCGATCTTTCACCTGCCGCACACACTGTCAAGGGGGTTTGCTGACCACCCTTGCCGACGCAGACGGTGCGACCGGAACCGAGGGGGGCGTCTTTGGCTGCTCGTGCGTCCCTCATATCTTCTCCTCGTCTCTCTGCCCCAATGCGAGAGGCTGTGAGCGCGTAGAAGTGTCGCGCGTACTGACACTCGGCTTTTTTTTGGCCGCTCTCGTGGACGCAGGGTCACGGCGTCGGGGCGCAACTTTACTGGTTGGTGGAACGGCCGCGGCACGAGCAACACCTTTCAGCCGTACCAGGGCTCGTGCGCGATGCAGGGACTCGGCTGGGACGGCCACACGGTGCAGCTCGTCAACTCGCCGTGTGCGTCGCTGCGACCTTCTCAAGTTCACCAACCTCGACGTCGCGCACGCAGATCAACCCGGCAAGGTCTGGTTCACCGGTGCGTCCCTATCTCTCCTGTCGTCCCCTGTGTCCCTTCTGACTCTGTCCCTGGCCCGCAGGCTTGCGCTTCTCGACGAACAAGACGCAGAGCCCGTGGGAGACGCACGCCTGGGACACGTGCTGCGCGGCGTACGCCTTCCCCGAGGGCATCGCGACGACCGTCGACGCTACGCCAACGTCCGGTGCGACGAGCGGAGGAGCCGTTGCAGGTATGGGCTCGGGCACGACGATGTTCGTCGTCGCCGGACTGGCCGGTGTCGTCATCCTCGCGTCGCTCCTCATTGCGTGCGTCCCTGCTCCTCTGCCTCTGCCTCGACGGACATACACTGACTGATCCTTTCCCCCGCGATCTGCAGGTGCATGTGCTGCTCCAAGCGCCCGGCGGCAGGCGGTCCGGGCACCAGAGCCGCTTTGCGAGCTGCGCTGCACTCTCCTTCTTCCACCGACGAGGGCGCGTCCTCTCGCTTTCTTTTGAACCTCAGCCTGGACTAACAGCGGCGCGCCGTGCAGAAGCCCGGCCGCTCAAGCGCAGGAAGACGCGGTCCAAGCCGACCTCGAGGAGGCGTCGCCGACAACCGTCGACCGACACGAGCGAGTCGAGCGACGGTCAGAGTGCGACGACGACGACGACGACTGCGAGCGAGACGGACTTGAGCGACGAGGAGAAGGGGCGGGACCGGGCGAGGAGGAGGAAGAGGCAGTAGAAGGCGATTGCCCGTGCACGGACCTCTCGTTGTTCTCTCGGCCTCGCCGATACTGGAGAGTGAGCTCGAGAGTTGCTCGTCGTGGCAAGGCTACGCTCTGTGCTGCGCTGCTCGCGCGTCGAGCCGCCTCCTCCAGCCGACCGCGACCTCGACGACCCAGTTCTCCCTCTCCCACCTCTCCTCCTCGAGCTCGACGTACGCCTCCCAGTCCTCGTCCCTCGCGCATACCTCTCCTCCATCTCGACGTCCGTCATCGTCCTGCCCCTCCCGCTCGCCCGCCTCGCCCTCGCGCGCCTCGTCGCCGAGCACGTACCCGTCTGGCGCCGCGAACGCGAGCCCGAGCTGCTGCGCCGCACGCGCGACGAGCACCGAAAGCTCGTACTGCTGAAAGAGGTGGTAGTAGCGGTTGAAGGTCGGTTTCGGGTCGGTGGCGGCGGGAGCAGGAGGAGGGGAAAGGGTCGAGTCGAGGGGAGCGGCGGTGTCGCCGGCGGCGGTTGCGGGCTCGGGCGCCGGGTCGCGCGACGGCGGTGTCGATGCAGGAGATGCTTGACCGGCCGCAGGAGGATCGGGCCCCATCTTGGGCCGCCGATCGCGTGGCGTGCCCTTGTCCCGCTTCCTCGGCACCTGCTCCTGGCGCTCCCACGGCACGAACACGTCCTGGCCCTTCCCGGTCGCGCCCGCACGCTCTCCCGCTCCCTCACCTCCCACTTGCGCCTCGCGCGAACCCTCGAGCGGCGCGTCGACGGGCACGGCGCCCTTCTTGCCGCCCGTCGTGCGGCGCGCGCTGCGGTCGCCGCCGCGAGCGGCGAGCGACGGGTCCTGCTCGACGGACCAGACGACGATGAGGAGCTTGGACGGAGGTGGTGCGGGCGAGGATGGGTAGCGAGTGGACGAGGACGAGGAGGACGTGGGAGGACAGGGAGGGAGGACGGCGAGGATCATTTGCTGCGGGCGAGAGCGAGCATCAGGCGACGGCTCGACCGAGCTAGACAGCCACGGGCGACTATACGAGTCGTGCATGACCATCGAGAGGAGAGAACGCGCGCTGACGCACCTTGACCGACTCGGCCCGGCGAGCGGGCGTCGCAAAGTGGTGGATGGTCGCGATCGAGATGGCGTGGTTCTGCGGCGGTGCGGCGAGGGCTCTGTCAGGTCGTGACGCTCGGCGGAAGGGGGACAGGAGGGGCAAGACGACGCACGAAAGCGCCTCGCCGCCAGCAGCTCAAGTCGACGCAGTCGCCTCGGACGACCTCGTGACCTTTGGAGCTCGCGATGCCGAGCAGGCCGGCGCTCATGTCGAACCCGACCGGCAAGAGGTCGCTCCTCGGCGGTGGCGTGCGCTCGTCGTCGTGCGGCTCGTTGGCGGGCTCGAGGGCGCGCGCTTTGCCCTTGGGCGGCGGACGAGGGAGCGAGTCGGCGGCCTTGCCGTCCCACGCGAGGACGCTACGGCACCCGAGGTACTTGCCGTTGCCCGTGCCGGCGTCGAGGACGAGTCCACCCTGTGTCGAGTGCGTGTCAGGCCCGTGTGTGGCGCAGAGAGAGAGAACGGGGAACGCACTGGAGGGAGACGTTCAAAGAAGCGCTCGACGAAGGGCCAGCGCGAGTGGCGAGTGCGCGAGAAGTCGGCGGCGATCTGGTCGTACACGGCGTGGACGTGAAGCAACTCGAACGAGGCGGCGAGGTTGGCGGCCATCGAGGTGAGAGAGTCGGGCGAGGGCGGTGCAGTGCGAGGTGAGCGAGGCGGGCACTTGACGAGGTGGGCTGGTTCGAGCTCGTGGGGCGCTGATGGAGTCTCTAGATTGAGATGCGCGGTCGCTGTACTCGCAGCGGTGCGGTGGTCCCAGCAGGCGGACAGGTCGCGAGCCAAGGTGGGCGAGCGCGGAGACTTGGTCGAACTCACCCCGCTCACCACCCCGGGCAGCCGTGCTACCGAGCTCTGTGCACCACGAGCACCTCACTGAAACCGGTCACCCGTCCCTCGACCCAACCAGAGCGAGTGCGCGCCTCGCACGAGCGGGCCCGTGTCGTCGCCTCGGTGTCGCCACGCCCTCCGCCTCGACACACGCCTCTGCCGCCAGCGTAAAGCCTCTTCAAGCTTCCAGCCAGGTGCGTCCATCTCCCTGGGGTCGGACCGAGCACCGGCGAGCGAGTTGGCGAGCGCGAGGTGGCCCTCTTGGCCCACACGGCGGCGTGTCTCGACCTCGGCGGCCAACCGCTCTCGCTCGTCCTCGTGGACGTGAGCGAGGACGCCAGGCTCGTGTCGAACCCGTTCCTGACCCTCTCGAACGCCCCAGCAGGTCCGGTCAGCGCCGTGCGACCCGGTCACCCTCGTCGTCGGCTCGTCGTCGTCCGCCTCGATCTCTCGCGGCGCCTCCACCTCCCGAGTTCACCTCAAGGGCCCAGCCGTACACGCGCCACACCCGCCTAGCACGTCGGCCTCGTCCTGTGCGCCCGCGCCGCCGTCATGGCCGCCGTGTCGCCTCCCCACTCGCCGCCTCCGGCTCGCTCCTCCCCTTCTTCCCCCGGCTCGCCGTACCAACACCTCGCCGACGCCGACCACTGCTTCCTCCCCTCGTCTCAGCACTCGACCTCGCCCGTCCTCCCGAGCCGCACCCGCAGCGGCTCGCGCACCTACGACGAGGCCCAGGCCGACGACCGCCAGCACCTCGCCAGACGCCGCACCCGCAGCCGCGAGCGCGCCGCCGCCGAGGACGCCCTCGTCGGCCGCAAGTCGTCGAGTGAACACGCCGCCCCCGGCGCGTACGAGCACGCGGGCGACGAGATGAGCGCGCACGAGCTCCGGGCAGAGGTGCGTCCGCCTGTCCTCCTCCTTCGCGTCTCCAGCCCCGCATCGAGCCGTGCTGGGAGCGCGTCTCGGCGAACAGCTTGACTGACACACACCCGAAATACTCAGATGGAGACGCTCATGCTGTTGCGGCGACGCTCAATGAGCCAGCCCGTCGCCGACCCGGACCTCCCGCCGACAGCTCCGCCCACCTCTGCGCCGCCCATCAAGCGCCCCAACCTTACGCTCGCCATCCCGACCATCAACGAGCACCCCGGCGGCGGGCCTGTATCGCCCACCGCGCCGTCCCCTGCCGAGACGGGCACCCTCGTGCGCCGCCGCTCGACCGTCGGCGGCCGCCTCCCGTCTGAGCACCCTCTTCCCTCACCTCCCCCTGTCCCCTCGCCAGCCCTCCAGTTCCCTCACTCGTCCTTCTCGTCACCCTCGTCATCCTCGGCCGAGTCGGACGAGCTCTCGTCGTCGCCCGCGAGCTTCTGGCTCCCAGCCTCGCTTCACCCGGAGCTCGCGCCCGCCGAGTTCAAGGCCTTCATCCGCGAGCAGACGCGCCCCGAGGCGCTCGCGCGCCGCACGTCGCTCTCGGCCGGCGGCGGCGGGCCTGGCTCGGGCGCGGCGGGCGCCAACCACGGCGGCGTCGGTCCCGGCGGCGCGCCGACCGGTCGCCCGACCCGGCGCGCGAGCCTCCTCCGCGGCGAGTACAAGCCGCGCGCCAACGACGGCGTCGGCGACGAGCGCCGCGAGCAGCCGCCGCCTGTGCCCCGCATCGACGAGGAGCACCTCGTCAAGCGCACGACGAGCGACGGCGCGGCGGCCAAGCAGCGCCGCAGCCGCAACACGCTCAACTTTGAGGAGCTCACGATCAAGGACCTGCAGCGCCTCGAGGAGCTCGCCGCCAAGGCCGAGGCCGAGGGCAACACCGAGGGCGAGGAGGAGGAGGGCGAGCGCCTCGGGCGCGTGTTGCGCAGGAGCCTGAGCCTCAACCCTCACCGCGTCGCCGCAGCAGGTGCGTCCTCCCTTTTTCTCTCTCTTCCTTTCACGTTCCTCGTCCCGTTGCTCACGCAAGCGCTCGTGCGCAGCAGCAGCAGCCGGCACCTCTTTCGGCGGCGGGACGCTCGCCTCGACGGCCGAGGAGCCGGCCGGCACCGACGCCGAGGGCAGCGAGCCGAGCCTCGACAGCCACGACGGCGCCAGCGTCGACGACGAGGAGGCGCCCATCATCGTGTTTGCGCCCGGCCAGATCCTGCGCCGCAACGCGCGCACCAAGATCCGCAAGACGAGCATCGGCGGCACCGAGACGACCATCGGCTTCTCGGGCGGGAGCCGGTACGGCTCGGGGCGGCGCAAGGGCGGCAGGTCGTCGACCGGCGACACGAGCGTCGAGACGGGCGAGAGCGGCGGCACAGGCGGCGGCGGCGAGGGCCCGTTGACGGCGTCGAGCGAGGGGGGCGAGGCGGGCGAGGCGGGCGACAGCGCGTCGCCGCCTAGCTCGGACCAGCAGCACATCGAGGTCGCGACGCTGCCCGTCGACGACGGGCCGCACGTCGTCGTGCAGCAGCAGCACCCGCCGGCGCTCCCGCCAAAGTCGGAGCAGGCGCCGCTCCCGACCGTCGTCGTCGACCGCCCGACCGTCGACGCTTCTCTGCCGCCACCCGTACCTGCACCTCGTCCCCCCTATCCGTCCGTCGACACCCCTGCGCCCGTCGTCCCTCCTCCCGGCGGCGCTGTCGAGCCGACCTCGCCGACCTCGCCCACCCGCAACGCGATCTCGCCAGCCTCGGCCGAGTACGACTGGGCGACGCACCATCAGCCTGCACCGCCACCACCCCCACCGCCGGCGCCAGAACCGCAGTACACGGTCCATCCGCAGCACCTCCCTCGCCAGCCGTTCGGCGAGGTCCCGCCGCCGCAAGCCGTCCCGATCCCGCTCCCTCAGCAGCGCAAGGAGCCGCCCGCGCCCTCGCCTCCTCCGCCTGCACCGGCTCCCGCCCCGGCGCGCTCGCAGTCGCCCAAGCCGGCGCCCAAGGAGAAGAAGAGCGGCTGGGCCCGGCTCGGACTCGGGCGCGACGACGACAAAAAGCGCAAGGGCAAGGGCCGCGATCGCTCGGACGATGGCGCGAGTACGACGAGCGCGTCGTCGCACGGGAGCGGCGGCGGCGGCGACAAGGAGTCGAGCGGCGGCGGCGGTGGGAGCGGGTTCCTGAGCGGCATCTTCGGCCGCAGCAAGCGCGGCGGCAGCGCCGAGCACGAGCCTCCCGCTCCTCCTCGTGCGCCCTCGCCGCCTCCTGAACCGCGCATCCCGCCACCGCCGCCGACGGCGTCGGGCGTGCTCCTGCCCAACGGGCGGTACGCCAACTTTTACCGGCTCCCGATCCACGTCGAGCGCGCCGTGTACCGCCTCAGCCATATCAAGCTCGCCAACCCGAGGCGGCCGCTGTACGAGCAGGTGCTCATCTCGAACCTCATGTGTGCGTCGGCGCTTCGCCCTTTTCCTCCCTCCCCTCTTGTCTCTCGCCTTCTCAACTCGAGCTCGAGCGCGAGACTGACCCTGTTCCCTCTCTCTCTTTCGCAGTCTGGTACCTCGGCTTGATCCAGAAGCCTGTCGCACCTCCTCCCGCCGTGGCGCCCGTCCCCATCCCGGGCTTGCCCTCGCCCTCCCCAAACCCGTCCCCTTCCCTCCCCAACGGCCTGCCCGCCTCGCCCTCTCCTCACGACGCCTCGCCCGCGTCGTCGTCTGCCGCGCCGTCGGCACCTGTCGCCGTCGGCCCGCCGCCGTCGTCGCCGTCGCAGCCGCACAAGCGCGGCGGGCTGAGCAAGCCGTCGCGCGCCGCAGCCGGTGCACGCCCGGCGGCCGAGATGCCGATGCGCACCGTCAGCTACGAGGTGCAGAACCAGCAGCTGCTCGTCGAGGAGCAGCGCGAGCGGTACCACCAGCAGCACCAGCAGCTCGGCCAGGGTCCGCCGCCGGGCCAGGGCCAGGGCCAGTACTCGGCGCCGCCGTCGTCGCAGCAGCAGGGCTACGCCGCACCCGGGTCGAGCGGCGGTGGCTCCTCGTCGCGCTCGTCGCCGTCGCGCTCGCTCTTTGCGCCGCCGCTGAGCTCGACGAGCGCGGCGACCGGGCCCGATCCCGCTCAGCAGCAGCGCTCGCCGGAGCGAGCCTCGGCGCCGGCGGCCCTGTACGCCGGCGGCGCAGCAGACGACGACGACGATCGGCCACTTGCGCTAGCGCAGCACGCTCAGCAGCAGCCGCAGCCGTACTCGACGCGCGAGTCGTTCCCGCCGACCCGCGGCGCCGTCCAGGTCCCTCCCGCGTCGTCGTCGGCGCGCCCGGGCTTCGAGGTGACGTCTCGCCGCGTCTCGGGCGGGTCGATCACGAGCGCCGAGCACGCCTACGGCGGCGGGTACGACGACGGCGGCGTGATCGCGCACCACGACCCGGCGCTCCTCGCGTCGTCGTCGGCGGCCAAGCACGAGCGCCGCGCGTCGGCCATGTCGGACCGCAGCTTTGACGCGGGCGAGATCTACGACGCGTACGCGCCGGGCAGCCCGGGGCTCGTCAGCGGTCCGGGCGCGAGCTCGCTGTTCGGGCCGCCGCCGTCGTCGTCGTCGGGCGCGCCGGCTGTCGCGCTCGAGACGCCGCCAGGGGCGGTCCTCGGGGCGGTGGCGCCGAGGGGCTCGAGCCTGAGGGCGTTGTCGCGGTGAGAGCGGGCGAGCGAGCGAGGAGGCGGCAGCGCAACTTAGAGAGGCGGCGCAGAGACACTCGGATTTCCCTCCCCTCGTCAGACTCTGGTGTTAGGTTAGGTCCTGTGCATCGTACACATTGCATCCCGCAAGCTCTCTGGGTGCGCAGTGCGAGAGTGAAAGAGCGAGACAAGGTCCTCTTCGTCGTCCGGCTTCTGCCCGCCGCGACTTCTCCCCCACTTGGCTCGCCTCAGCTCTGCAGCACTCCGACACCAGCATGGCTGCCATCGACCCGACTGTCAAGGGCCTCAAGCCCTCGACCGAGCAGTACAACGGCGCAGGCGAGCGCTTCCTCATCGTCCACGCCCGGTTCGTCGACTCGTCCTCCTCGTCTCGCTCGCCTCTCGGCGCGTCTGGGAGAGAGCGAGTATGCCGAAGCGAGGTTGACACTGACCCAGATCCCCTACGCCCGCAGCTGGAACGACCAGGTCATCACGCCGCTCGTCCAGGGCGCCGTCGACACGATGATCAAGATGGGCGTCTCGCGCGACAACATTGTCATCGAGACGGTCCCTGGCAGCTACGAGCTCCCCATGGCGTGCTCTCGGTGCGCCCCTGTCTCTGTGCCTCTCTCTCGCACCAGTTGGGAAGAAGCCGGACGAGGTCCTCTCCTCGGACGAGAGTAGAGTCGGACCGGCAGGCGCACCAGGGCCATGGCCATGGGAGGACAGGCTCGAGTACCATGGCCGTGAAGCTGACACACACCTGCGCTCGTCCTCCCGCAGACTCATCGCCGCCTCGCAGATCCAGGCGTCGGCGACAGCCTCGGACCTCATGGGCGCCTCGACCCTCCTCGACGCCCCTGCATCGGCCCCGACCTCTGCCCCGTCCTCGTCCGTGTCCAAGGGCCCGTTCGCCGCCGCCATCGCCGTCGGCGTCCTCATCAAGGGCTCGACCCAGCACTTCGAGTACATTTCGGACGCCGTCACGCACGGCCTCATGCGCGTCCAGCTCGACACGGGCGTCCCCGTCGTGTACGGCGTCCTCAACTGCAACACGGACGAGCAGGCGCTGCAGCGCGCCGGCGTCGGCAAGGAGACCAAGGGCCACAACCACGGCGAGGACTGGGGCGCGGCCGCCGTCGAGCTCGGCGTCAAGACCAAGCGCTGGGCGACGGGCGCCATCTAGAGCGACACGACGACGGCCATGTACAACGCGCAGGATCGAGCAGGGTCGCATGGGCGAGCGAGAGTTGGGTCGCCGGGCGAGGCCGGTGAGGGCTCGAGAGGCTTTTCAGCTTCTTCTTGCCGCTCGCCTTCCGCATCTCGGACCAGTCGCTCTCTGCGCGCTCTCGCCGGCTCGAGCTTTGGAGCTCGCTCTCTGTCTTTCTCTCGGACTCGACAAAGAGAGTGCAACGCGCCGGCTCTTTCCAGACCGAGTTACTCAACGCCGGAAGTCTCGCTCTCTCTACTACGCCTTCTCGAGCACGACGACCTCGACGACCGCCTCCCTCGTGCGCTCCCTCGTGTTCTGCATCGTCGCACCGCGTCGAGCGGGCGCGAGCACGTCGCGCACGCGACGCAGGCCGCACGGGCCCTTCTCGCGCACGGCCTCGTCGTCGCCGTCGAGCGACGTGCGAGGGAGGGCGATCGCGCCTTGCTGCTCGGCGGCGGGACAGGTAGAGCCGCTGTGCAGGGTCCGGAGCCAGACGAGCGTCAGTACCTGGCGTTGGAGGCAGAGACGCACACTGTGGCGGATCGACGCACGCGTGGATGAGGACGCCCTCGACGATGGCTGCAGAGGGTCGACGGGCAGGTTGGGTCAATGCGGGTTCCTCGAGGAAGAGAGATAGTGAGAGGCTCGACGCACCGAGAACGAGAGCGAGGCCGAGCTGGATCGACTCGGGCTGGTCGCGAACGACCCTCGCGCCGATGGGCCACAGCGCCGCAATGCAGCCTGTACGTGCCTCAGACCGTCAGTACGCCCTTCTCGACGTCGAAAAGGTGAGAGAAGGACGCACCGATGAGGCCGGTCCAGCACAGCGCGCGCTTAAGCCTTCCCCTCTGCTCGCGCAGCCGCGTTTCCTCCTCGCCCGGCCCAAAGGCGCACGCCGCTCCCGCCACGACACCGACGCCGAGCGGAATGGCGAGCAGGACGACGAGCGCGGCGAGGTGGGCCGCCGTCGGCGGTGACGGCGAGTGGCGCGACTCGATGTAGACGAGGCAGGCGGCGTTCCAGACCGACGCGCTGCGGGTGCCGGCGTGTCAGGACCCTCTTGGGTGCTCGCGAGGGAAAAGGAGGACGCACCAGAGCGATTCGAAGAGGAGATTGGCGCCTGCGAGAAGCGGTTGAAATGAGCGGGCTCGAAACGAGACGAAGTGAGAAGCGGACGCACTCGTGTAACCCTGCTTTGCCGCCTCGTCGGCGTCGGGCACAAAGGGCAGCTGGTCGTGGTCGTCGTTGGCGAGTGGCGACTTGACCGACTCGGGCTCGTGGTTGACGTCGGCGGACGAGACGGGGAGGCGAATGGCGCCGTCGCGGCGCAACAGGCGGTCGAGGTCGATCCAGCGGGCCATGTCGTGCGAGGTGCTGAGCAAGGTGCGAGTGGAGAAGGAGAGCAAGGAAGAGCGGGTGGGTGCTCGGCGACGAGACGATGAAAGGCGAGGTGCGAGGTGCGAGCGTTCGCTTGTCTCCCCCGCAAAGCGGCTCGAGCGTGCAAGGACGTCCGCCTCGCTCGGCTCGCTCGTCAGGAGACCGTCTCGCACTTTCCACTGCGCTCGAAAGGAGCAGCACCCGAGAGTGAGCGGCGAGAATGTGTCCGAACAGACGAAGCGAGTTGAACAAAGGCGAGAAGGCGAGTACGCAAAGATACAGCTCGGGCGACGACGACGAGGGGAGCTACAACAAGGGTGGGTACGACAGGATGCGAGAGGAAAAGTGAACGCTGTCAAGGCTCGGCGCGAGGAGCGGGAGCAGGCACAGCCGGCGGGGAGGAAGGAAGGGAACGCGTCGAGGACGACGCGGCGCGCGGCAGGTCGTCGTCCTCGGCGACGACGGCGACGCGCTCCTGCGACGGCTCAGCCGCCGTCGACGACGTACTCGCTCGAGGCGGGTGCGCGCCGTCGAGCGTAGGCACGACCGCGCCTGCGCCGCCGAGTGCCGCACCGTCGACCGCGCCCCGCTCGCGCTCGTCCCCGCTGTCGCCACTGTCGTCGCCGTCGTCGCCATCGCTCCCGTCCGTCTTCCACCCGTCGGCCCGCTGCAGCGTCGCCTCGCCGTCGGCGACCTTGCGCGAGTAGGTCGGGAGCCCGAGGCCTTCCTCGGCCTCGCGCTGCGCCTCGCGCTCCCTCCTGCGGCGCAAGCGGCGCTCGGCCCTGCGGCGGACCCGCTCGGCGCGCCTGCGCTCCGAATCGGTTTCGACGTCGTCGTCGCCGTTGCCCGTGTGCGGGCCGGCCATGGCGGCGGCGGCGGCGACGAGGACGGCCGGCGTCGCGCCGTTGAGCGCCGCGCGCTGGCTCGGCGTCAAGTCGGCGAATGAGCGCGGACCGGACGACGACGACGACGATGAGGGCCCGAGGAGGCCGGCATCGCGCAAGGCGCGGCGCAGGTGCGCCACCTCGGCGAGCGTCGCCGGGTCGGCCGGCCGCTGCTGCGACGCGGGCGTGCGGGCGGTCGACAGGTGCTGCATCGGGACGGCCGTGTCGGCGTTGCCGCGGCGGAACAGGGACGTCAGGCGGGCGAAAGGGCCGCGCCGAGGTGCCGAGGCGGGTCCGGTCGGTGCGACGGTGGCGGCGGCGACGGGGGCGGCGGGCGCGTTCGGGTCGGGCTGCGCCTCGTCGTAGCCGGGCGGTGGAAGCTCTGCATGTTCGAGGTCGAGGCTGTAGACGCTGTTGTTGAGGCTGCGCTGCGAGTCGGCGGTGCGGGGGCGAGGTCTTGGCCTCGCGCGATGGTGCTGCTGCTGGTCGCGCGAGTAGATGGTGCGTTGGCGGCGCAGGCGGTGCAAGAGGCCGAGGCGGACGAGTGCGCCGAGGGCGAACACACACAGGATCACGACGATGGCTGGCGAGAGCGACCAGGACAGTTGGAGCAGCGCCGATGAGGGGGAGGGGGCAAGAGAGTCAGTCACAGGGCTCAGGGGTGCGCCGGCTCGGGTTCAGAGAGACAAGGACGCACCGTACTTCCACACGCTGACGGACCCATCCGAGCCGGAGCCGGACGAGGACGAGTCGGCCGACGAGGTGGCTTGAGGGACGAACCGGGTCGCGCTCGTCTGGGCGAGGTCCGGGGTGGATGTTGCGGCGGACGAAGTGGTCGTGGGCCACACCTGCTGCCTGCGGTCGAGTGCAGGCATCTTGGCGGGCGTGTGTTGGAGCTGTAAGGCAGAGAGTGAGGCGGTGAGAGGTGGAGGCTGTCGAGGGGCGGTGCAGCTTCGAGACATTTGCCGCTCGGCTCGGCGACCGATATGCACCTCGCTGCGAGGCGCCCAAACTCTCGTTCGTAACCCTCGTCCGCCTCTCTCCCTCTGCCCACTCTCTCGCAACTCGCTCAAGCTGTGCGTCTCGCCTCACTCTCTCTCGTTCGCGCACACCGACTGACCCTTGACCGACCTGCAGCTCCCTCCCAAGTGCGTCTCCCTCGCCGAGCCTCTGCCGCCGAGCCTCCTCCCGCGTCATTCCTCCCACGCTGACCTCCCTCTCCCCCCTTCCCTCCCCTCGCACTGCTTCGTCCTCGTCCTCGTCTCCATCTACAGCCTCAACCCCACCCACCACACCGCCCAACCGCAACCATGCCCTTCACCGCCAGCGACATCTGCAAGGTGAGCCAACCTCGCCGGTCTGCCTCTCGTCGACCGCGACCGCGAACTGCCCCGGACTGACTCTGTCGACGCTCGCCTGCAGATCATCCTCGCCATCTTCCTCCCGCCCGTCGGTGTCTTCCTCGAGCGCGGCTGCGCTGCCGACTTCTGGAGTGCGTCCTCTTCCCTCTTCTTCCCCCCTCCTGAGCAGACCAAGCTGACTCGTTCCGCACCGCGCGCAGTCAACGTCCTCCTCACGATCCTCGGCTACATCCCGGGGTGCGTCCCCTCTCGTCGTCCCTCTCTCGCACGCGCGCACGCGCAACTGACCTTCCCCCCTCGGCCACCTCGCTCCTTCTGCCTCCGCCTCGCCTTCTTTCTTGCAGCATCATCCACGCGCTCTACATCATCCTCAAGTACTGAGCGGTGAGTCAGACCGACTCGATGTCGAGGTGGGGCGATGAGAAACGCGGGCGCGCTCAATCGGTCCGTCCGGCTCTCCATCTCTCTCCTCACACCGTCGCGACTGGACCTGACGCATCTCCTTTCCCCCTCGCAGGCTTAGAGAACTCGTGCCGCTCGCACCCCTCGTCGCTCGTCGCCTCGCCACTCCCCCTCCTGTGCTTGAACCCGTTGTGCCGCTTTACCCCTTCTTCCTACTTTCGCCTGTTAATCTTCATCCCGGACACTTCCCCACTCTGCGAGTCGCACTCGCCATCGAGAGCATGTCAAGACGGCGAGAGCTCGTGAGAGCAATGCCGTCGAGCCCGGTCAGAGAGAGCCGGTCCCTCCTTTTGCTCGCAGCGCTCGGGCCCTGGACCGCGCGCTGCGACCGTTCGGCAGTTCGGCTCGACAGCTCAGAGACTAGCTCGAGCGCTCACCGCGGCGAGCTCGCTCGCGGTCGAGACGACGCGGCGACGGTGCAGCCAGCTCAGTTGGGCGACTTCGCGTTCGCTCAGGCCGCCCTCTCAGTTGTGAGGAGCCCTCCTCGCGCCCGACCCCGTGTTCGCCCTCTCGGCGCTCCTTACTGCGCTCGCTCGAGCGCTCGAGAGCTTCAAGCTGCGACGCCCACGCTCGTGCTGGTCGTGCTCGCGCTCGCTCACGCTGCTTCCTCGAGCGGCTCTTCCACTTTCTACATGCTCTCGCTGTGTGCGGCTGGTGCAGGTGAGCGCAGACGAGTCGTCGCAACGGGCGCGAGCGCGCAGAGGAAGCACAGGTCCGGCGCCGACCTTGTCGAACTAAAGAGGCTCGAGCGGCCCTTCTTCCTCTCTCGGAAAAGCACGCCGACGAGGCAAAGACGTCGCAGAGAAGGATGCTCGCACTGCAGAAAGTATAACAAAGGCTCGTGGGAGACATGGGTATCGACCGGCACGGCTCGACGGTGCGCCTCGGCCGCCGAGGGGGTATCTCGCTCGTCCTCCTCGATCCCTCGCTCGCCGCACGTCCGCCCTCCCACACTCGCCGACTGCCGCTCCCCTACTTGGCCGGCAACCGATCAAAGATGCTCGGCTGCTCGGGCGCGTCGACCTGCTCGCTCTGCACCTTGCGCTTGACCGAGTCCATGATGTCGCTCACGGCCGAGCGGTCGAGGTCGTCGCGCGCCTTCATGAGCGCCTCGGTAAAGGCGAGGTTGGCGCCGTACTTCTTGCGGAAGGGCCAGTACTGCAGGAGCGAGGGCGAGGGAACGAGGACGAGGGCGAAAAGGGAGAAGTTGGGCGACAGGTCGAAGAGGACGATCGAGGGACAGCGAGAGAGGGGTTTGTCAGTCCGTGCAGGTGGAAGGACGAGGGCTCGAGAGGAAGGAGAGAGGGCGAGGACGCACGTCGAGGAAGACCATCATCTTGCTCGCGCTGATGAGGGTGAGGACGCTCTCGAGGACGTCAAAGTAGGCGACGAGCTCGGTCTTGGGCTTGTACGCGAGGAAGAAGTCGAACGCGAGGTCGAGGTCGGCGCGCATGCGCTCGACGGCCATGGGCATGCGCAGCTTGGACGTGCGGCGGACGGCGACGAGGTACGTGATGAGGAACGTGTCGACGAGGTCCTCGACGAGGAGGTCGAACAGGTTCGGGTTGAGGTGCACCTGGTAGTCGTCCATGTAGTCCTGGAGCGTCTCGACAATCTGGCGCATCGGGTTGACCTCGGCCGTGTGCCACGCGGGCGAGAGGAGGACCTTGGTCGCCGGCTTGAGGTCGTGGAAGACGACGTCGATCAGGACCTGGACGCAGCGCTTGGCGACGTCGAGGAAGCCGTCCATGGCGTCGCTGAGCTTGTCGACGATGGCCTGCTTGTACTTGGTGCTCACGAGCGGCTCGAGGCGGTTGCTCATCGCCTCGGTAAAGTCGGCGCACTTGATCTGGTCGTTGGCGAGCGCCATGACGTACTCGTCGAGGCCCGGCACGAGCGCGTCGTCGCCCGCGATCCGGCGCCGGTACTCGCCGTCGACGAGCTGGATCCACCGCCGCTGGACGCCGCGCATGACCCGGTTGGCCTCGTCGACGACGCGCGACAGGACGGCGGCCTGGTTCGAGTCGAGCGCGAGGTCGACCTGCTGGTTGAGCATCTGGAACAGGATGACGGCGCCCTGCATGCCGTAGTAGCCGTCCGGGTCCGTCTCGGGCGGCTCGGCGCGCTCGAGGAAGTCGCGCGACTCGCCCTTGAACAGGTTGGCGGTCCACTCGTCCATCTTTTTCGTGATGACGCCGAGGTAGTCGTCGAGGAGGGCGCCCTCGTTGCCGTCGAGGAGCGGCGGCTCGAGCCACGCCGGGTCGACGCCGAGGTCCTTGGTCATCGTCTTGGTGTACTCCTTGGTGAACTGCGACAGGCGAAGGAGCGTCGCCGGGTCGGGCTCGTTCTTGACGAGCGTCGCGACAAAGTCGTACAGCGCCTTGTGGTAGCCCTTGACGCTGCAGGGGAGGGAGAGCTGGTCAGGCACGTTCTCGAGAGTCAAGGCGGACCAAGGGGGAGCGACGACGCACTAGACCTGCTCGATCTGCGTGCGTGCGAGGTCCAAGGTGAGCGACGGTATAGAAAGAGAGAGAGAGCGCGCGCGAGGGGACGGACCTTCCAGTCGGCGGGAAACTTGTCGACGAGGAGGTCGCGCACGGTGACGATGTCGTCAAAGACCCACTCGAGCTCATCGATCCAGCGCACGCCGTCCTCGCCGGCGCGGCGATAGCTCTTCTCGACGTCGGTGCGGCAGCCCTCGCGGATGGCGTCGAGGACGCGGGCGCGGTAGTGCTTGAGCGTGCGGGCGTCGGCCTGGAGCGAGCGGAACCGGGCCGCGACGTCGACGTTGCCGGCCTTCTTGACCATGCGGATCGCGATCGCGCGTTGGTCGCGCGCGCCCTCGACCTCGGCGACCTTGCACAGGCGGACGGCGACGCCGCTGTTGCCGGCGCGCGCGAGGGCGAGCAGCTCGCGCGCGAGGCGGAAAAAGTGGGCCTCGAACGCCTCGATCGTCTCGCCGAGGCGCTCAAAGTAGCGCTCGAGCGTCTCGCGCGTGCTCGCGAGGCTCGCGAGCTGGTGGGCGGCGGGCGCGTCCGGGTCGGGCGAGGCGGTCGACGACGCGGCGGCGGCCGCGAGCGCGTTCGAGGTCGAGCCCCACGACGCGCCCGACTTTTTGGCCTGGGCGAGCGTCTCGTTGCGAAAGGTTTCGAGCTCGGTGAGGTGGTAGTGGATCGGGAGGAGGTTGGGCGAGGGACCGAGAGGGTCGGCGCGGTCGGCCGAGAGGAGGTCCGAGAGGTGCGACAGGCGCGAGTACATGGACCGCAGCGAGTTGACGATCTCGAGCGTCTGGGTGAGGCGACGGTGGACGATCGAGACCTGGAGGAAAGAGGGGCCTGGGGTCAGTGCGGAACGAGGTGTGAGGGTGAGGGAAAGGGGACGGACCTCGACGAGCTTGCCAAAGCCGTGGATGTGGGCGCGCGGGTCTGCGACGAGGTGCTCTACTTCTCTGAGCGACTCCTTGAGCTGTTCTGCAGCGGTTTTGGCGTCGCGGAGGCCTGCGAGGCCCTGCTTGACGAGGTCGACCTGGTCCTTTGCGCGCGAGCCGAGGGTCTGCTGGAGCTGGGTGCGCTCCTTGAGGATGCGCTGTCGGAGCAGAGGAATGCGGGACAGGGTTGGCGGGGTCGACAGGTGCTGTGGTTCGCGGGCACGGGTCAGTGAGGTGCGGAGGTGGGGACGACGAGGAGGAGGAGGAGGACGAGACGGACTTCTGCGATGGCGGACGCGGCAGTGGGCTGCCCCGGGATGAAGGCAGCCATCGTGTACGAGCAAGCTAGGACTTTGACCAGCGAGTAGAGCAAGTGAGAGCCTCGCTCGTCGTCGTCGTCGTCGTCGCGCCTCGTCTCTCACTCTCGTCACGCTCAAGCAGCACAGCGACGCGCGCAACAGCCTGTGCCCTTGCCACAGCACCCCGCCAGCCCCTCGCCGCACCCGCCCACCTCGTCGTCGCCCTTGTCTTTGTCGCGCGACCCTCCTCATCAACTCGCGGCTCCTCGTGCCGGCCTACAGCGACCAGCGACAGCGAGCGTGCCACCAAGCTGCACCCCGGTGCATGTCCTGCGCAAGACTCTTGGTCTCGCGCACAGCCCTCGTCCAGCGCCGCCTCCCGACCCTCACCCTCGCCCGCACCTCGTTCACCATGGCCTCCTCGCCCACGCCGACGCCCACGCTCCGCCAGCGCACCCCGGCCACTACCAGGAGCCACTCGGGCCACTCGCACGGCGCCCATTCGCACTCGCACGGCGGCCTCGACGAGACGGCCCACCTCTCGAGCGCCTTTACCTCGCTCCGCAACCCCTCGCAACTCGACCCGGGCTCGCGCATCACCCTCGTCGGCCTCGTCGCCAACGTCGGCCTCACCGTCGTCAAAGGCGTCGCCGGTTACGTCCTCGCCAGCTCGGCCCTCCTCGCCGACGCCGCCCACTCGGGCTCCGACCTCGTCGCAGACGTCGTCACCCTCGTCTCGTACCGCATCGGCCGCTGGGCGCCCTCGCACCGCTACCCGTACGGCTACGGCAGTGCGTCCACTCTCTCTCTCCCCTTCACGCCTTGCCCGCTCACTCACTCGTCGACCTTGTCTCCCCGCCCACAGAGTTCGAGTCGCTCGGGTCCTTGGTCGTCTCGTTCCTCCTCTTTGCGACGGCCGCCGGCATCGGTGCGTCTCTGTCTCTCTTCTCTCTCGGACCTCGGAGACTTCCGAGCGACTCGGCCACTGACAGTTCCGCTCGCGCGCAGGCCTCCATTCGTACCACCACCTCCTCCTGTCGCTCGCCTCGATCCCCTCGATCCCGCCCGACCTCCTCGCCTCGCTCGACTTTCTCCCACACGGCCATTCGCACGGGCCTGAAGCCGCGACGGCACCGACGACCGCCTCGCACTCGCACGGCGACGCGGCGTCCCTCGAGGCGGCCGGCGCCATCGTCGACGCGCGCGCCATGTACTTTGCCGCCGCGTCCATCGTCGTCAAGGAGTGGCTGTACCGCTCGACGTTGCGCGTCGCACGCACCCAGCACTCGAACGTGCTCCTCGCCAACGCGTACCACCACCGCTCGGACGCGCTCGGGTCGCTCGTCGCCCTCCTCGCCATCGGCGCCGCGCGCGTCGGCTTCCCCATGCTCGACCCGGTCGGCGGCCTCGTCGTCGCCGGCATGATCGCCAAGCAGGGCTGGGACGTCGGCAAGGACGCGCTCGGCGCCCTTGTCGACCAGGTCGCCGACGACGAGGTGCAGCCCAAGGTCTACGAGGCCATCCGCGCCCTCAGCTCGGCGCACGTCGAGCCATGGAGGGCCGCAGGCGATGTCGACGCGGCGCAGGGCGTTGCCAACGAGGACAAGACGTCCCTCGCCTCGGCCTCGTCGGCGGCAGGCGCCCTCTCGCCCTCTTCTCCTTCCTCCCCCTCGTCCTCCACCACCGGCACACACCCGATCCTCGCCATTCCCTCGGTCCGCATCTTTGCCTCGGGCCCCTCGCTCCTCATCGACGTCCTCGTCGTCCTCCCCTCGCACCTGTCGCTCGCCGACGCCAACGCCGTCGAGCGCGCCGTGCGGGAACGCGTGCGCGACGTCGTCGGCCGCGAGCGCGTTCGCGAGGTCGTCGTCCGCCTCAGGGCCGACGGCGAGAGCGGCGAGGCGGCGGTCGAGCTCGCGCACGAGCACGAGCACGAGCATGCGCACGAGGAACGCGAGGGCAAGGGCGGCAAGGCGCAGTAGCAGCCTAAAAGGGTCGGTAGACCTGCATCGTCGACTTCTATCATTGTCGGCTGCGTCGCACGAGAGCTGCGTCCGGCGCGAGCAAGCCAAACCTGAGAGAGCCCTGCGTTTGAGAAGGTTGCGCACGCTCCGGATCTCGCGAGCAGCTCGCGCTCTCTCGGCTCACAAGGAGGGAAAGAGAAGATGTCAAGGCTTGATTGCAGTGAGCACGTTTCGCGAGGCGGGACAAAACTCGCTCAGGAGCTGAGGAGGAAGGGAGAAGGCGCAAAAAGGGGAGCTCGAGGAAGGATGTAGGCGCGATCAAGACGAGATATTGGGGTCGACAGAGGCGCACGGTCCCTCGTAGAGACAAAGGTCCTGTAGCGCTCGGCGGGCAGCTGCTCAGATGTCCTTGACGTGCGGCTTGAGCGCGTCGACCGCGGCCCGCTGCCACGGCTCGAGCTCTTGACCGTACTGCGTGTTGATGATGTAGCCGTACGGGTCCTCGGCCAGCGTCGTCACGTTTGCAAGCGTCTCGATGCTGCAGAGGCGAGAGGGAGAGGTGCGCGCGAGGGTCAGGCAGCGTCGAGTGGTCGGCGAGGGAGGAAAAGGTCGTCGACGTACATGCGGTGGATGCAGATCGGCGTGTACTGGGGCGAGTAGCCGCTGCAGGAGAAGCAGGATGGTTGTGAGAGTCAGTGAGAGCTGGCCGTCGCGCAGGGAGAGAGAGATAGAGAGAAGGAAAGGAGGCGACGCACCCTTCTTGGAGGTAAACGAGCCGGCCTTTCGTCACCTCGTTGGCGACGTTCATCATCTCGCGCGTGATGAGCGCAAAGCCGTCGGCCGTTACCGACTGTCGAGCGAGCGGGTCCATGATGTTGGCGTCGAGGCCTGCGAGCGAAAAAGAGGAGGAGGAGGACCGTGCGTCCGACGCGAGGAAGTCAGTCGAGCCTCCCAGGACGGTGGAACGGCTGACGAGGACGCACCTGAGGGCACGATGATGATGTCGGGCTTGTACCGGCGCAGCGCAGGCTGCACGAGCGTCTTGAGCGCATAAAGGTAGGCGTCGGTGCCGCTGCCAGGCGGAAGCGGAATGTTGAAGCTGCGGCACGATGCGGTTCAGTACGAGGGACGCTGCCGAGAGCGCGACGGGCCTGAGGAGAAGAGATGAGCACGCACTTGTAGCCAAAGCCTTTGCCGGCGCCGCGCGACGAGGCAAACCCGCGGTCTGGCGGGAAGCAGCGGTCCTGGTGGATCGAGATCGTGAGGACGTCTGTGTGTGGGCCTCGGTGTGTAAGTCAAGGAGATAGGCGAAGGAGAGAGGCAGGTCGACGCACCGTTACGCTCCCAAAAGATCTGCGAGAGAAGGAGAGTCAGGGTTGTCGAGGCTGGTCGAGGCTGGAAAGGGGCAGTGCGGGACGCGCACCTTCTCGGCGCCGTTGCCATGGTGTACGTCGAGCTGTAGAGCGAGAGAGAGGCAGAGAGGAGGGGCGGTCAGACGCGCCGGCAAAGGTCACCCGTCGGTTAGGAAGGTCGACTCACGTCGACGATGGCGACCTTCTTCAAGCCGAGCTTCTTGCGCGCGTACTCTGCGGCGATCGCGCCGTTGTTGAACATGCAGAAGCCGCGACCGCGATCGGGCTCGGCGTGATGGCCTGCAGGATGCACGAGCTGCGAAGAAAAGAGGGTCAGAGCGCGGTCCGTGCGGGCGCGAGGAACGACGAGGACGCACCGCATAGCCGTTCTGCACCTTGCCAGAGACGACCGACTCGAGGAGCTGGAGTGACGCTCCGACGCCCTTGAGCGCGAGGTCGTAGGCGCCCAGGCCGAACGGCGAGACGCCGTCGCCGCAGTCCCCGCCGGTTTCGTTGCTCTCGCGCTTGACCCGATCGACGTACTGCTCGAGGACAGCGGTCAGATCATCGTGTCGAGAAACTCAGAGGGCAAGTGGGACGCACCTTTGCGTCGTGGACGAGCAGGACGTGCTCCTCCCTCGCCGGCCGAATCGGCAGTCGCTCGACGTGCTCGAGCAGGCCCGTGACCTCGATGAGCTCGTGAGCGAGACGCTTGGCGTCTGGGTGAGCGACGTGCTTGTTCGGGGCGATGCCGAGCTGCCGAAGGAGAGGGGAGAGGGGAAAACGGTGAGCGGTGGGTCCGTGCGCGCGCAGAGGAGGAGAAAGGTTGGACGCACTCGAAAGTCGCTCGGCATGAGCGGATCGGCTCCAGTGTCCCACCACCCCATCGCCGCCGTCCAGAGGTAAGCAGTCTTGAAGAGCTTGGTCTTGACCATCGTCGAGCGGAAGGCCGTGTGCGAGGCGGATGAGGCTGAAGACGCGAGCGGGAGGTGGCGTCGGCCGCTAACTCGGTGGTGCGGTCGAGAGGGAGTGAGAGGACGACGGGCAGGAGGGCAAGGGAAGAGCAGAGCGGAAGAGAGCGAGGAGGAGACGTCCGAAGCGACGAGCTCAGGAGACAGCGGACGAGATCCACGCGGCGACGAGCGTGGGCGCTCGATCGCTGCCGAGAGGCGGACAGGAGAGCCAGAATGCGGCGACGACGCCGAGCGCAAGCGCCTCGACCGGCGCCTGACCTTGTGCGACGGACGAGAGACGGCAGGGCGCGAGCGAGCGCACAGACCTCGTCCGCCTCGTCCTCTCACGACCCAAGCTCTCCGACTCGCGGCTGTAACGTCGCAGGGATGACTCGAGACGATCTAGAGAGCCTATCTACAAACCTCGCCCCAGGTCGCCCGCCTCACGCGGTCTTCTGCTCGTCCTCGCCGCCGTCCTCCTTGCGCCGACGGTCCGGCATCGCCGCAGCCTTTGCGTCGATCGAGCGGAACTGCCAGCCGAACTTGGCGTTGTAGAGGAAGGGCCGCATGTCGAAGCGGTTGTCGTCTGCGGCGGACGAAGGCGGAAGAGTCAGTGAGGGACATTGGCGTGCTCGTCGGCGAAAAGAGGGACGAGGACGGACCGGGCGAGTACGCCTCGGCGTGATAGCTTGGCGTGAGCGTCGTCATCTTGTGCCTGCGCGACGGGAGAGGGAGATTGCGCGTGTGCGCGCGAGGCGAGAGCGAGGCGAGGAGGAAGACCGAGGACGCACCGGTTGATCGCGTAGAAGAAGAAGAAGCGCTTGACCTTCTCGGCGATCTGCGAGGAGGACGAGGTGTCAGAAGCACGACGGCGACGAGGCAAGAGAAAGGTGGCAAGGGGACGCACCTCGGTCGGTGTGAGCTTGCTGCCCCAGAGCGTCGTGAGCTTGGTGAACATGCTGTACGGGCCCATCTTCTCCTGCTTGCGGAGGCGACCAAAGATCGACAGCTCCTCGTACGTCATGCCCATGTCAACCTCGTCCGACTGAACGTAGTCGCCCGTGATCGGCTCAAGCTCGGCGGTCGGCGTCGCGTTCAGGAAGCTGCGGGGCGACGAGGGACGACGGTCAGGTCGACTCGTCACGAGACAGATCAAGAGGAGAAGCGAGACGTACTCGTCGAGGATAGGCAGCTCGAAAGCCTTGGTCGCCCAGGCGATGAAGCGCTTGAGGTCGACCTTGGAGATGGCGCCGATCGGGTTGACGTCGGCCGCCGAGCAGTCGTACTTGGTGTAGTAGCCGCGCAGCCTGCAGGCAGTCGAAGAAGAAGGTGAGCGACTCGTCGAGGAAGGCGGCAGGGAAAGAGGGAGACGAGGGGACGCACGCTTCGTCGACGTTGGCGCTGCCGAGGACGAGGAGGGCGCCGTTCTTGCCGCGGACCCAGGGCACGAGCTGCGCAAACAGGTACGCGAGGAGCATGCGCAGACGGGCCTGGATGTTCTGCAGGGCCAAGTTCTCGGTCTGCGAGCCGCCGTGCACCTTGTACTCGGGCTTCTTGCCCGTGACGAGCGTGAACAGGGTGTGGATCGCGTCGACGCAGGCGTCCATGTTGAGGTCGACGTGGTAGCTGTGACAAAGAGGACGAGGTTGGTCAGGAACCGGTCGGCGAGCCGCATCCTCGACGAGCGCGAGGTGCGCCAACACGAGAGGGGGAGGACGTGGCCGACGTACGCGCCGATGGCCTCGACCAGGGCTTTGGCCCTTTGCCGAGTCTCGTTGCTCGAGTTCTTGGTGCCCATGTAGCACGTGTGGAAGATGCGGCCGCAGAACTCGCGCGGGTCGATCGGGACGTAGGTCGACGTCTCGGCGTCCTCGCCCGTGATGCGCCGAGCGTCCGAGATGACCTGCTCGTCTGCGAACAGGGACAGTAGGTCGAGGTCAGGGCCTGGGACAGGAAGAGAGTTGAGGAGGGAGAGAGAAGAGTGACAGCGACGCACTGCCCTCGGCGGCGGCCTTGGCGACGAGGCGGCACATGGAGAAGACGATGGTCGCTGTCGCGCACGAGTCGATGCCGCCGCTCAGTGGGACAAAGTAGCCGCTCGTGCCCGACCGACGAAGGTAATCCCACAGCCAGCACGCCGGCCCGTACCTGTCGCGTGGGTCCGAGCGTCAGTCGAGAGTGGGACGAGGAGAGGAGGAAGGGGGGTGGACGACGAGGACGCACGCGATTTCCTCCTCGGGGAGGTTGTAGCGGAACTCGCCCTCCTTGTCGACGATGGCGTCGACGAGGTCCTCGTCCTGGTCGGTGCTGAGGCGGGTCTCGGCCCTCGTGCGCACGAACGCCTCCTGGTTGCCGGCCGCCTGCATGCTGCGACTGCTCCACGTGCGGTGTGCGCGGATGCGCTGCAGGTCGACCGTCGCCGTGACGACCTCGACGTCGTTGAGCGAGAACTGGGACCCTTGGGCGATGACCTGGCCGTTGAGCGTGATGAACGAGCAGCCGTCGTAGTACAGGCGGTCGCCGTCGCAGCCCTGCTGGTTGGCGTACAGATACAAGCCGCCCGACTGTAGGCGAGAAGATTTGCGAGTCAGTCGGCGCTCGTCGAGGAAATCGAGTGAAGGACGAGGACGCACCTTGAGGGTCGCCTCCTTGATGAGGTCGATGCGGGTGCGCAACTTGCGCAACTCGTGGTGGCTGCCCGAGCTGTTGGTAAAGATCTCGACGCCGTCGAGCGCCATCTCGATGTGCGGTCTGTGACGGGAACGGGAGCGTCAGGCGAGGAGGTCCGTGCGAGAGAAGGGAAAGAGGGAGAGGGACGCACGCAGCCGGGGTAAAGAGCTCCTCGCACATCTCGACACCGATGCACGTGTCCTGGGTCGCGACGACAGCATGGCCGATCGGGACCGTGACCTGCGCGGCGAGAGGCAACAGAGTGAGAATGTGGACGAAGGTCGGCGGCAGAGGAAGGAGGACGACGCACCTGGCCAGTGACGTCGGCGATCATCTTGGGCAGCCAGAACTCCTCGGTCTGCTTGTGCTTCATCCACGGCGTGAACCACCGCAGCTCGCGGTAGTTGCCGTCGTTGGCGAGCCACATCTTGGGGCGGATGAGGAGGATCTTGCGGTTGTGGATGATGATGCGGCAGTTGTAGATGACGTTCTTGTGGACGACGGGCATGCCGACGTCGACGATCATGTCGAGGCCGTCGTCGCACTCGAGGATCTTGACGAGGACCTGCCAGGCGTGAAGGTGCGTGTCGCCTGTGCGCGGGTCGACGGGTCAGGTCGTGAACGTGGCCTGTAGACGGAAGAGAGAGGGACGCACCTTCAAGGAAGTGGTCCTGGCAGCCATAGGCACTGCAGGAAGGGCAAGGGGGAGCGAGGGTCAGCTCTCTCGAGCAGGACGACCTGCGCGACGTCACGGGGCGCGAGGAGCGGGGACTTGCGTGATCTCGAGCTCGGGACCGATGCGGAGCTTGGCGCCACGCTCCTTTGCGATCTTGATGGAGCGGAGGATGCGGTCGAGGTTGCCTGCGAGCGGGAGACGAGAGGTGAGCGCAGGTCGTGAAGGACGAGAGGGAGAGGGCGAGCGAGGACGCACCGTCAAAGTCGAGCGCATGCTGGTTGAGGGAGCAGGTGGCGACGGTGATGAGGCCGCCAGCAGGGTGTGCGCTCGCAGCTGGCGGTCGTTGACGCGGTCGAGGGGGAAAGAGTTGGGCGACCGAGGAGGATCGCGATGAGGTGGGGAAGGGCGGTGCGAGGGAGGGGCAAAGGCCAAGATCAGTCGGTGGTCGGTACGGGAGTGCAGGACAGCTGTGCGCACCCATGGCTGGTCGTGAACTGCAGAGGACGAGCTGGTCGATGAAACGCCGACGTTGTTCAGCCCGACTTCATCAGCTCGCTCGTCACCTGGACTCCCACACCCGCTCGGGTATCTCGAGAGAGCCACCAACTCGCCCTCGAGGAGCTCTGGACCGCACCTAGCCCAAGATCCACCAGCTCGAGCCCTCTCCCACCTCGCCCTCCTCGTCCCCACTTGCCCCGGACGAGTCGACCTCCAGCTTCCCTGTCCTGCGCCTCTCGGCCGCCATGCGCTTCAAGGCCGACGTCTCGAACCCGAGTCAGCTTTCGCGCCTCATCACCAGCCTCGCTCCGCTCTCAAAGACGGCCATCCTCAAGCTCAAGCACGACCAGGTCCACCTCATCTGCCGCGCAGGCGGCACAAAGACGTCCGTCCAGGTCTGGAGGTGCGTCCACACTCTTCCTCTCTTGTTGCGCCAAGGCGCCTGTCCTGACCTACTCCCGACAGCGTCATCAACATCGTCGGTCGACCTCGTTCTCCATCTCGACCGCGCTCCGGGGCCGCGACTGACGTGCCCTGCCCCTTCCTGCAGGACTCGATCTTTCGCACCGATACCCTTCGCCTCGAGTCGAACCATCAGAACGAGGTCTACCTCGAGGTGTCGACCGATCTCCTCGCAAAAGCGCTCAAGTCTGCAAGTGTGCGTCCTCCACTTCCTCTCTACGTCGACCAACGCGGTCCTCGGGTCCGAGCCTGACTGTCGCAGACTCCCTTCGACACAGGGCGCGACCGACGTCGGCGTCAAGCTCGCCAAGAAGGGTGGGAGCGGACCGGGCGGAACGGGCGAGGGCTCCTACCCGGTCCTCTCGCTCGTCGTCCAGAGCTCGGTGCGTCTCTCGCTCTCTTCTCGAGAGGGATGGGTGTCAAAGCCTGACGAGCAATCGTCGGTGTGTGTGGCTCGCAGAGTCGGCTCGGCAAGCGCCTCGAGATCACGCAAGACGTCGCCGTCAAGGTCATGAAGGCCGCCGAGATGGACCAGCTCAAGGAGCCGCTGTGCCCGACGCCTCAAGTGCGTCCCACACTCTCTTCCCGTGTCAGTCTCGGATGTGCGGCTCATCTCGGTCGTGCCCTGCTCGCCCGCAGGTCGCGCTGTACCTTCCCTCGCTGCACACGCTGCGCACCGTGGTCGAACGCCTCAAGACCATCTCGTCGTACATCACCATCAGCGCGAACAATGCCGGCGAGCTCAGGTGCGTCGCGCCTGGATTTCTCGCTCCTGCCCGTTCCCGCTCCACGAGCCGGCGCCGACCGTCTCTCTCGAACAGGTTGCGCGCCGAGTCCGACGACGCCAAGGTCGAGACCGAGTGGCGCGACCTGCGCATGCCGACTGCCGGAGCTGAAGGTGCGTCGCGCTCGTTCACCTCCCATTCTCTCGCCCTCGCTCCGCTTTCCCGGATACTGACTCATTTCCTCTCCCTCCCTTCCCTGCATCTCTCCTCCTCGCGCAGGCATGACGGACCCTCCCGACGACCCGCACGAGTTCATTTCGGTCACGCTCGAGGCCAAGGACGTGCTCAAATTCCTCGCGAGCTACTCGGTCGCGAGCACGACCATCGCCTGTGCGTCTCCCTCTTTCGCTCCTCGTTTTCCAAGGTCACCCGGCCTCTCGAGTGATGGTATTGACGTATTAGTACCGGACAGGCTTCTGCAGGGCGCACGCCGCCATCTTCTACGTCTACGTTGGCGCGGAGCGCGACTCGTCGGGCGCCCAGGGGTCGGGCGGCGTCCTTACCTTCTTCGTGCCGGCGGTGCAGCTCGGCGGCGATGACTAGTGCCGCGCGTGGACGAGCCGTCGGGCCGAGGGAGGTCGGGTTCGAGGAGCTCGAGCCTGAGGGGGAGAGAGGAGGTCCGGGAGCGTGTTGTTGTACTTGAGCTTGCACTGCAGGGCTTTTCCCTTTCCTCTCGACTCTCGTGCGCGACGACTCGAACGCGACATTGAACGATGACGTTGCAAAGAGAGAGCTACAGCTGGACAAGGACGAAAAGAGCTCGCAAGAGGCGAATTAGGCGGCGAGGTGCGAAAAGGTATGGACGAAGAGGGGAGGCAGGACGATTAAGGGGGGAGTCGACAGGGCTTGAGAGCTTGCGGCGACGACTAATGGTACGCCGGCTGCGGCTGCATCGGGTAGCCCTGCTGAGGCTGCTGAGCTGTCGGCGCGCGAGAATCATCAGTGTGCGCCCGCGAGACCGAGACCGCGTGAAAAATAGACGAGGCGACGCACGGTAGCCCATTTGACCCTGCGGCGCATATCCGCCACCGCCATAGCCGCCTTGCGGCGCGCCGTAGAACCCGCCAGCCTGACCAGCGAGCGGCGGCGCCGGGCCCTTCTGCGACGCGGCCCACTCTGTGCAGGTGGAGAGAGCGTCGTGAGCGTCGGCGTCGGTGCGAATTGGAGGAAATGGGACACACGGCAGGTCGAGCAGTGCCAGATGTGCTCAGAGCCGAGCGGGAGGATCGGGACGCAGCAGCTGTCGACGGGCGAGCGGGTCAGTGAGTGGCCGCAAAGCGCGAGAAGGACGGTACGGGGCGCACAAGCTGAAGCAGTTGCGCTCCTTGGTGGCGTAGACGGTGCCGTTGTTGCAGCTGTGCGGGCGGGAGGAGGAAAACGAGGTGAGCAAGCCGGACGAGCGTGGGGCAGAGTGAGGACGAGGGGACGGACCGAGGACAGATGTGGGCCTCGTTGCCTTCGAGCGACAGCTGCTTGTCGCATCCGCAGACGCAGATGAGCGGGATGCAGTCCATGGACGTTGCTTGAGCGAGGGCGAGGTGCGAGGTGCGGCTTGGTGGAGGAGGTGACGACTGCGCGGGCGAGAGGTGGTCAGTCACGCGTTCGTGCGCAGAGAGAGGAGTAGGTGCGCACCTGTGGGTCGGTGGACGATGCTCAGTGCCGAGGGAGAGCTGGCAAGGAGCGCGAGGCCGAGTTGGACGAAGGCGGCGAGGCGGTGCGAGGTGAGTCGGCGGCCGGGCGGTGGGTGCAGTCGGGTACGGTGTCGAGGTGGAAGTGCACGAGCTGCTGGTGGCTGGACCGAGTCGCTGTGCGGCGTGGTGCGAGCGTCGAGATCGGGGCGAGCGGCGATGAGGCGACAGATTCCAGCAACGAGGCGGTGCAACGTCCGGCGTCTCGCAACTCGCTCCGTGCAGGACCGACTCGGGCGCAGTCGAGCGGGATAGCAGCCTGCAGTAGATCGTGCACAGCTGCAAGCGACTCAGAGCGGTGCAGAGCTTAGCTGATTCCGCTGACGGCCCCGCGTGGTTCGGTTCGGGCCTCTCTCCCTCTCTCTCTCTCCTCCCACCCTCGCCCGCTCCCACATTGAATGGTTGAAGCAGCACTCGACGACCTCAACGACCCCGGTATAGGTGGCCATACCCACCCCGCACGCGACCATGCCGTCCCCTCGGCCCACCACCCGCCTCCCGACGCTCGCACGCGCCAAGACTCGCCGCCCGCGCTGGACGCCACCGCCCCTCAGCTGAACCCCTCGAGCCTGCGCGCCCGCCTCCTCCAGACCCTCGCACCCGCCGCTGCACCCGACGCCCCGTCGCACCACTCGCCGCCGTCGCGCCAGGGCAGCCAGGTGCGCGCCTCGTCGCTCCCGAACCTCGACCGCGACCACCGCGGCGGCGACCGCTCGCCCGCCCAGCTCGACGACGACTCGATTATCAAGGTGCAGCGCCGTCCGACCCAGGTCAGCGTCGTTCCCGTCGGCCGCCACTCGGCGCCCTCGACCTCGTTCGACCCCTTCGCCGCCGCCGGCACCGCCCCGTCGACCTCGGCTGCCCCGCACAACCAACAGCCGACTCGCGCTCCGCTCCTGAGCAAGGCCCTCCTCGAGCCCAAGAAGCCCGTCGGCAAGAACCCGTCGTTCCGCCAATGCCTCGTCAACACGCTGCGCTACTCGTGGCTCAACGTCCTCCTCGTCCTCGTCCCCGTCGCGTGGGCCCTCGACCTGTCGCACCAGTCGCCGACCGTCGTCTTCTGCTTCTCCATCACGGCCATCGTCCCTCTCGCCGCCCTCCTCGGCTTCGCGACCGAGGAGCTCGCGATGCGCGTCGGCGACGCTTTCGGCGGTGAGTTCTTGGCGTTCCCCACCTCGACCGCGTGGTGCGCCCGACACTGACCTCGCCCCTCACCCTCCCTGCAGGTCTCCTCAACGCGTCCGTTCCCCTCGTCCTCCCGAGCGGCCTGCCGGTCGTCGTCGCACCTCGTCCTGACCCTTCCTCGTCCGCCCGCGCTGCAGGACTTTCGGCAATGCCGTCGAGCTCATCATCGGTGCGTCCCCCTTCTCCTTCTACCTCAACCTCACCCGTCTGACGACCTGTCGACGACGCGCACAGCCATCCTCGCGCTCGTCAAGGGCGAGCTCAACATCGTTCGCTCGTCGATGCTCGGCAGCCTCCTGTCCAACTGCCTCCTCGTCCTCGGCGGCGCCTACTTTGCCGGCGGTATCAAGTTCTACGAGCAGGGGCACTCGGTCCGCAACGCCCAGCTCAACGTCAACATGCTCGGGTCCGTCCTCGTCTCCCTCTTTGCGCCAAGTCATCCCCTCTTTCCTCCTCTCGCCGTCGCTCTCGCCCCCTCGCCGCCTTTCAGACGAGCAGCACCCTGACTTGTCGTCCCTCTCGCAGTATCGCCGTCACCGCCATCGTCATCCCGGTCGGGTTCCACAGCTTCCTCATCTCAGAAGGTCGCCAGACGGCGGCCTTGACCGACGACGCCGTCCTGCGCCTGTCGCGAGGCATCTCGTTCATCCTCCTGTTCATCTACGGTCCGTCCAGCTCTCTTTCGGCGTCCCTCGCGAACCAGGACTGACCCCGTCCTCGTCGTCCACAGGCTGCTGTACGTCCTTGACCTCGATTCGTCCCTACCTCGCACGCGCCCTGACCCACCCCGTCTCGTCCCGCAGACCTCATCTTCCAGCTTTGGACGCACAGCTACCTCTACGTGCCGGCGCCGCCGCCCGACCCTCGTGCCCCGATCAACAACCAGGCCGACGGTCCCCAGCCGCCGGTCGGTACTCGCGTGTTCCGCATGCCGAGCCTGCCGAGCTGGGGCAGCTCGAGCACGTCGTCCTCGTCCATCGGCCGCGGCGACGGGCGCCCCGCCTCGGTCCGCAGCCGGGCGTCGAGCTTCGCGCACGGCGACCAGCCGGCACCGTTTGTCAACGACGGCGAGGACGTCCACCTCGCCCGGGTCGTCACGACGCACAGCGCCCTCGAGCCGGTCGCCGCGTTCAGCGTGCACGCGACCGACGCGCAGGCGCAGGCGGCGCAGCGCGAGGGCTTCTCGTCGGCGGCGACCGTGCACGACCTCGAGAAGGGCGGCCTCGCCAAGGACGACCACGGCCATACGCACGACGACCTCGAGCACCAGCCAAAGCTGTCGCCCTGGTTCGGGTTCGGGTTGCTCATCGTCGTCACGGTCCTAACGGTGCGTCTCGTCGCCTTTACCCTCTCTCGTCCGCCAAGCCGAATCGAACTTGACTCGCCTCTCGCCGCTCGCAGGGTGTCACGGCCGAGTTCCTCGTCGGCTCGATCGACGGCTTGACGGCCACCGGCAACGTCAGCAAGGAGTTTGTCGCGTGCGTCCCGCTCGCTCGCCCGCTCGGGCCGCTTCTCCCCGGCCACCAGCCCTGACCTCGGCCCTTTTGCCCCTCACAGGCTCATCCTCCTGCCTGTCGTCGGTAACGCTGCCGAGCATGTCACTGCGTGCGTCTCTCTCTCCCTCTCTCGCCCTTTCCCACCTACGTCGTCATCGACTGACCCTTTCTCCTTTGCCTCGCAGCGTCACGGTCGCGACCCGCAACAAGCTCGACCTCTCGCTCGCCGTCGCCGTCGGCTCGTCCATCCAGAGTGCGTCGTCCTGTGCTCTCTTGCCGTCCGAGCGTCCTCACTGACTACCTCGTCTGTGCCGCAGTCGCCCTGTTCGTCATCCCGGTCCTCGTTCTCCTCGGCTGGGCAATCGGACAGCCGATGGACCTCCAGTTCGACACGTTCGAGACGCTCCTCGTCTTCCTCGCCATTCTCGTCGTCAACTTTGGTGCGTCCCCGTTCCTCGCCTTCTCGTACCGCGCGCCCTTGTCGGTCTAGACGTCGCCGCTCACTCGCCGCTCTCCGTCTCGCAGCCATCGGCGACGGTCGCAGTCAGTGGATGGAGGGCATCGGCCTGATGATGATCTAGTGCGTCGCGCTGTTCCTCTCGACCCTGCCCGACCCCTTGCCACGTCTCGAACTGACCTCGTCTTTCCCTCCCTCTCTTTCCCCTCTCCCCTCTTCTTCGGCTCCCTCCTCGCCTTCTTCTCCTCAGCGTCATCATTGCCCTGGTCGTCTGGTTCTACCCGGGCTCGGCGATCTAGTCATTGTCGCACCTCGTCGTCCCCGCTTGCGTCCCTCCCTTCTCCTTCTTCTGCTCTAGTCCCCTCCCCGCACGACTCCTTCGAGTACCTGCCCTCCTCGACCGTCCTCGCGCCTGCCCCCGTAGCTGTACCACTCTCTGTCTGTCCGTGCTCCACGATGATTGCCAACGAACTCTGCCGTTTTGAAGCTCCCTTCCGGCGTCGCTCACCCGGGCGAGCGGAGAGAGCAGCGAGTTGGAGAGCTTTGCATCTGCTTCAGCATGTAGCTGAGAGCGTCGCGCCCGAGAGTGAGCGTCGCGAGCGCTACGAGAACGTCGCCGAACGTCCACATCGAGCCCGAGAAGGTGCACGAGGCCGCTGTTGCCGCGCTCGCTCGGACCCGGCGAATCCTCGCGGTGCCTTGCACGACCTCTTGCACCGTGAGAGCCGTCGCACAGCCTGCTTTGCTCGCGCGAAAGGCGGTGGCCGTCGCTGCGCAGCGGGAAGACGCTCGGCCCGCTCGTCTCGCAGCGTCTCGCCGTGCAAGGCCTTTTTGGCGGCGGCGTCCGCCTAGCTCGACCGTCAGCTTGAGTCGGCGTGGACATGCGGCTTCCCTGGCTGCGCGAGAGGCTCTCGCTCGCTCTTCGTGCTCCAAAGGACCGCTCACACGCGGACCGCTCTCGAAAGAAGCAAGCCAGGTGCGCACAGGAAGCTCTATCTCCTCTCGCGACTCACGGTCGATTGAGCACGAAAGACGACTTGCAGGTCAAGCTGGGAAGGGAGAGACTGCGCGGTCTACACAAAGAGGGCGAGGGAGGAAGGTCCGAGGAGCGAGGACGAGGAGAAGGGGGATCAGAAGTTGGTGCCCTCGGGAGGTTGCGGCAGCTTGCGGTTCGTCGGCGAGGCCATGTCCCTGCAGAGGCAAGACAGGGTCAGTTCGGGTTCGTCGAGGACAAGGAGGGGGGGCGCGTTCGACAGGGCGCTTGAACCTTGTCGACTGTGGCTCGGACGAGGGAGAGGGACGGACCTGCGGAGCTCGACGAGGACCGTCTCGAGCGTAAAGGTCGGCTTCCAGTTTGCGAGGACGCCGAGCTTGTTGGGGTCGACCTTGCCGTGGTTCTGGTCGACGGCGGGGAGGTTGATGCGGGTGAGGAACGTGATCTCGGGGGGCTCGTCCGGGTACTTTGGCCCGCAGCGGATCGAGAGCGAGTAGATGCGGTTCTCGTGGACCGAGTGGCCGGGCCCGATGATGGTGCCGTTCCACTGGTTCATCGACATCTCCTCGCCGTCCTGGAGGCCGTACGAGCACGTGCCGTCGCCGATGCCCTTCTCGCCCTTTTCGAGCTCTTCGAGGAGGCGGAACGAGCGCGGGACTGGTGGTCGGCGAGGCGCAGGGTGAGGTGCGGCGAGTCGTGCGAGGCGAGGTCGGGTGACGGAGGTGTGGTGGGAGGGGAGAAGGACGACGGCGGCAGCAGGGAGGACGGGGGCAGGGTGTAGGGTCAGCTGGAGACTCTGTGGAGGGCATGGGCGAGTCGGACGCACCCTTGGCCATGGTTGCGAGTGAGGATGAGCGACAACCGACCACGCTCGCCGAGATGAGAACGTCGACCACGGCTCGCTCATCGTGCTCCCCTCGAGCGGGATAGCTTGCTGGGTGGATCTACTCCAGAGTAGTTGAAGCAGCCATAGCTCCAGCAAGCGGGTCCACTGCGATTGAGACTCGTCGCCATTGTCGCCTCCCCACCTCGTCCGAGTTAGCTCGTCGCTCGTCGCTCGTCTCCCTCTCGCATTCTCCCTCGACGCGGCCTACGCTAGCCCAGACGGTCCGTCCACCTCTCTTGCGCAGCCTCCACACGTGTCTTAGCAGCCAGCACCTCGCGACGTCGACTCGACGAGGAGGGGCCTCCGGCGGTCGCCCGACAAACAGGCCGCAGCGCCTCGCTGGCACGGCACGCGGCCGTGGCGAGCTCGTCGCCGGCCCACATGTCCTCCTCGTCGCGTGCTCGAGCTGGCGCTGCCTGTCCACGCGGTGCCTCGCCGCGTGTCGCCTCCACTCCCCTCGACCCTCCCTCGGCGCCGAGCTCCCGCAAGTCGCACGCAAGGCCATGAGAGTCATTCACTGACAGCTTTCTGGCACCATCGCAGACCACCCGCTCGCACAGACGCACAATGTCGGGCCCGTTCCCCGACCACCCGCCGCCTGTCGCCCGCGACTCGTTCTCGTCGGGCCGCTCCCGCTCCTCGTCCCAGCTCCGCACCGACTCGTCGCGACAAGCCTCAATCACGGTCAACCCTGGACCCGACCACGAGACGTCGGCCGGCTCGCGACAGCACTCGTTCAGCTCCGCCACCCCTCTCGGCAGCGCCGGCCTCGTCTTTCCGGGACCAGCACACGCCGCCCGGCCGCCGTACTCGTCGAGGTCGTCCGCAGCCGGCGAGGACGGGCAAGAGCAAGAGTCGCTCGCGTCGCCGTACCAGCCCTACTTCCCCGGCCCGCCCCCCTCGTCCTCGTCTCGCCGCGACTACCTCGACCGCGCGCCCGACGCCGCCCAGTACCCGCTCCCGCAGTCTCGGCAGCAGAGCGTCGACTCGAGCATCGGCACGTCCGACCTGCCGACCTTTACAATGCCCTTTCCTCCTCCTCCCGCCTCGTCCTCGTCGGCCTCGTACCCTCGCTCGCCCTCGATCCTCTCGCCCGTCGACCCAGCGAGCGGCGCCGGGCCCGCCCGCGCAAGGTCGCACCTTGGGCCTGGTACCCTCCACAAGAACCCGTCGTCGTCGTCCCTGTCGGGCACGTCGTCGGCCTACTCGTACGAGGCGGCGTCCCCCTCGCCCGGCCTGCCGCCCGGCGTCGGCCCCTCACCCGACCCGAGCACGTCGTCCGGCCTCGACGCCTCGTACGCCGGCGCAGGTGCGACCGGCGAGTACCCGGCGCGCTCGCCGTCCGCCGTCGGCGACTTTGCCCGCCGAGGCGAGGGCCTCGGGCTCGGGCGGACCATCATGGAGCCGACGCCGGTCGCGCCCGAGTCGAGGAGCGACAGCTATGGAGAGGCGGGAGATGGAGCGTACGAGGCCGAGCAGACGGTGCAGCCGAGGGTGCAGGAGGACGTCGTCCCGACGGGCTTCGACGAGGGCGTCCTGAGGGCTCTGTGCGACAGCGACGTGCGTCCTCGTCTCCCTCGTCTTCATCCTTGTCGTCGCGTGACTGACTCGCCTGTGCCTCATACAGTGCGGCATGCCGTTGCTCCTCGAGCGCATGAAGCAGAGCATGGCGTCATGTCGAGTGCGTCCTCCTTTCCTCGCTCTCCCGCTCAAGGTACGTGCCCTGACCGAGCTCGTACCCGGCCACAGGAAGCGTCTACGTTCCTCAAGAAGCGGGCGCAGATCGAGGAGGACTACGCGCGCTCGATGGCCAAGCTCGCCCGGTCGAGCATCGAGAACTACCAGGTCGGCGACGGCAAGGCCGGGTGCGTCTCGCAGGTCTCACTCCTCCTCGAGCCTCACGACCGAGACTGACCCTTGTCTACCCTGCGTGCAGCTCGTACGTCACGTCCTGGCTGTCGCTCCTGCGCACGCACGAGGTCCTCGGCGACAACCGCATCAAGTTCGCCTCGCAGCTGAGCGACATGGCCGACGAGCTCGCCGTTCTCGGCAAGGAGGTCGACAAGAGCCGCAAGGCGACCAAGGACCTCGGCGCCCGACTCGATAAGGGCCTTCAAGAGCAAGAAGGGCTCGTCGACAAGGTGCGCCCGGGCCGTTCTCACTTCCTCGTATCCCCTCGGGCCCTCTTTCTGACTCCTCTCGTGACACGCGCAGGCCCGTACTCGCTTTGACGCCGCCGCAGAAGAGCTCGAGCGCCTGCTCGTCCTCAAGCAGGGCGAGTCGATCACGCCCTCGTCGGTCCCGCACGCCGGCGCGTCGGGCGCCAACCCGTCCAAGGGCCGGTCGTTCGGCAAGGCCATGAGCAAGCTCAAGGGCCCCAAGAACCCGGCCCAGTTCGCCAAGCAGGAGGAGGACGTGCGCTCGCGCATGGGCCAGAGCAGCGACTCGTACCGGGCGCAGGTCGCCGGGGCGCAGAGCGTCCGCCACGAGTACTTCAACCTCCAGCTCCCGCGTATCTTGCGTGTGCGTCGACACCCTTCTCGTCTCTCCCCTTCCTCGCGCGTCGTCACCTGACGAGCCTCCTTCCTACGCAGGCCCTCAAGGAGAGCGTCGACGAGCTGGATCTCGGGACGCAGTACCACCTTTCGCGCTACGCCTACCTGTTCGAGGCGCTCCTCGTCACCGACGGCCTCACTGTGTCGCCCGTCTCGCCAGAAGATGGTGCGTCCCGCTCGCCGTTCCTCGTCTCTCGCGGCCGATCTCCCTAACTCTGCCTCCTCGCGGCCGCAGGTCCGGGCGTCAAGGGCGTCGTCGACTCGATCGACATTCGCGAGGACTTCAAGACGTTCATGCAGCAGTTCTCGCTCAACTGGCAGATGTCGGGTCAGCGTGGTCCTCGGCGAGAAGGTCCGGCCGACGAGGGCTTTGTACGTCTCTGGCCCAAATCTCTCCTCGTCGCCGTCACTGACTCGGCCCACCCCTTTTTCTCAGCCCTATCGTCCTTCCCTTTCACCTCTGCCGCAGAGCGGCACCCTCCAGTCGTTCGCGTCCGTCGCGCCGCCAGCCGCACCGACTCGACCGACGTTCGGCGTCGACCTCGGCGAGCAGATGGCTCGCGACAACGTCGACGTGCCGCGCATCCTCGAGAAGTGCGCCGAGGCGATCGAGGCGCATGGGCTCGACTCGATGGGCATCTACCGCCTGAGCGGGACGACGAGCAGGGTGCAGAGGCTCAAGGCTGCGCTGGATCGCGGTGCGTCGGCTCGCTTTCTCTCCCTCTCTCTTTCTCTCTCTCTCTCGAACCTGACGACGAGGACGACCGTGCGCAGACCTCGAGGGCACGGACCTGCTCTCGGAGGAGCACCTGTCCGACATCAACGACATCGCCGCCGTCCTCAAGCTGTGGTTCCGAGAACTGCCCGAGCCTCTGCTCACGTGGGAGCTGTACCATCAGTTCATCGAGGTCGCGAGTGCGTCTCTCTCTCCCTTTCCTCGTCCCGCACCCACGGCGAACCGTCTTCCTGACGACGCACCCGGGCACGCAGAGATCGAGAACGACCGACTGCGGCACATCCGGCTCCACGAGCGCGTCAACGACCTGCCCGACCCCAACTATGCGACGCTCAAGTTCCTCATGGGCCACCTGCACCGGATCGCGCAGCACGAGTCGGTCAACCAGATGAGCGTGTCCAACCTCGCCATCGTGTTTGGGCCCAACCTCCTCGGCGCGCCACCGCCGCACCTCGCGCCGCAGTACGCCTCGTCGGGCTCGCAGCCGCCCGCCGTCGACGCCAACGGTGCGCCGATGCCGCAGCAGCAGCAGCCGCAGCAGGGCGGGGGGCTCGCCGACATGCAGTGGCAGTGCAAGGCGGTCGAGACGATCCTGTCGCACTTTCAGGAGATCTTTGTCGAGTAGCGCCCCTTTGCAACTCGCTTCTCGCCTCGAATCGCCCGCAAGAAAGAGAGAGAGTAACACTGCGTTCATCATTTCTATCTGCGAGATCTACGAGTCGCTCGTCTGCGCTCGAGCGCTCACCAAGGCATGGCGTTGCCCTCGTAGTCCATGAACCGGCCGTTCCACGCCGGCTCGGCGGGCAGGAAAACGTTCTTCGTGCTGCAGAGAGACAGGGTCGGGCGTGAATAGGGTGTGCGAGGAGAAGGAAGAGGAAGAGGGACGCACGCGAGCGAGACAGCCTCCTCGGTCGTGATGTGGCCGCCGTTGTCGAACGAGTTCTGCGGAGCGAGTTAGCGACTGCGAGAGTGATTCTGAGGCTCGGCGGACCCACCATGTCGGTCTTGACGTAGCCTGATGACGAGGAAGAGAGCAGAGTCAGAGGTGCACGAGGGGAGCGAGAGGGCGGAAGAGAGACGAACCTGGGTGGAAGAGGACGCAGGTGAAGCCCTCGCCGGCGAGCTCCCTCGACAGCTTGAGGCCGTACATGTTGAGCGCCGACTTGCTCATCGAGTCTGTCGCGCGAGGTCAGGCTGGCAGGGAAAGGGAGAGGAAGAAGGGGGGGGGGGACGCACAGGCGACGCCCGCCGCCGTCTCCGAGTAGAAGCCGCCGAACGAGGCGACGACCGACGACACGAAGAAGATCTGCTTGCTCTTGCCGCTGCGGACGAGCGGCAAGAGGTGCTGGACGGTGAGGATGGCGCCCTCGACGTTCGTCTTGAGGTTGGCGCGCAGGTCGTCGAACGAGCTGGTGGACGGCAAGCAGGTCAGTGCGCGTCCTTGGGATAGTGAGGGTGAGGACACGCACAACTCGGAGGGCGGCTTGTGGCCACCAACAAAGACGCCGGCGTTGACAATGAGGGCGTCGAGGCCGGCGTCCTCGAGCTCGCCATCATCGAGGAACTCGTGCTCGGCGAGCTGCTCGGCCGCACGCTTGATGCTGTCCTCCGAGTCGACGTCGAACTGGACAATGAGCACGCGGCCCTTGTTGGCGGGGAGGGCGGCAAGGTCGTCGAGGAGCTTGGCGTTGCCCGGGTTGCGGACGCCGGCGACGACGCGAGTCTCGGGGTTGCTCTCGAGCAGAGTGCGAGCATAGCCAAGGCCGAGGCCACGGGATGCGCCTGCGTACGCGGGAGACGAGAGCGTGAGCTGGCTCTGCGTCGAAGAACGAGGAGGTGGGGGGACGGCGCACCGGAGATGAAGTAGGTCTTGGGGCTCATGGCGAGGCGAGGGTGGGCAGTCGAGCTGTACAAGCTGGTCGAGCGAGCGACTGGGGAGCTAGGCGGCGAGAGAGAGCTGCTGTCGTCGTCGTCGTCGTTTCGGACTTCGCGCTGACAGCGGCAAAGTGGAGGCGAGCTTCGCTCCTCACAGAGCGGCTCTGCGACTAGCTGAGCGACCCTACGAGTGCTTGTGGACTAGTATGATCCTACTCTCGCTGCCCCAGATCCAGAAGCCGTTGCGGGAGAGCGCGGCCTCACCACGTCGCTCCTCGCCTCGTTGCTCCTCCTCTTCCCCCACTTCGTCGCCCTCTGCCCCCTCGCCCGCCATGAGCTCTGGCTCCATCACCATCAACTACACCACCCTCGCCGAGATCGCCCTCGTCGGCGCCTTGATCGGCGGCATCTGCTACGCCGGCAGCAAGGGCCAGGCCGCCCTCCCCGTCGACGCCTCGTCCGCCTCTCACGCCCTCGACGACGCACACTCGGCCCTCCACAACAAGGCCAAGAAGGCCAACAAGAAGAAGAAGGGCGCGCTCGCCCAGGCGCAAGACGCCGCCGCCCCGCTCGTCGACCAGGCCGTGTCGGCCGCTTCTTCCGCCGTCAACACGGTAAAGCAGCAGCCCGTCGTCCACAAGGCCGCCCAGGCCGCCCAGGCCGCCCAGGGCGCGGCAGCGCAGGCGTCGAATGCGGCGCACACCGCGGCCAAGGCGGTCCAGGGTGCGGCGGCGAGCGCGGGCGCGAGTGTTGGAGCGAGCAGCGCAGCTCCCGCACCACCGGCGGGCTCGAGCAAGAAGGGCAAGAAGAAGGGCGGCAACAAGGCGGCCTCATCGGCGGCGGCGGCGGCCGCAGCAGGCGCCGAGCACAAGCCCGACGCCGAGGTGCACGCCGAGCAGAAGCACCCGGCCCCCTCTGGCCCCACCGCCGACATGCGCGACAGCGACGACGACGCCGTCCACGTCGCTCGTGTCCTCAAGGTCGTCGGCGGCAAGGCGGGCGCCGACCCCAACAGCCTCCAGGTGCCCAAGGCCGACGAGGCGTGGGAGCGCTCCGACTCGTTCGACGACGACGACGGCGAGTGGGAGGCCGTCCCCTCCAAGAGTGCGTCCACACCTTTTCCACCTCCCGTCTCTCTCTCTCTCTCCTTTTCTGCGAGCCGACCTGACCCTGTCGTCCTCGTCCCCTCCCTCGCAGAGGTGTCCCGCCCGTCGACCCCGTCCGGCGCCGCCCTCTCGTCCGCGCCCGCCCGCTCCATTCCGGGCCTCCCGACCTCGACCGCCGGTCAGCCCCTGACCAAGAAGCAGCGCGAGAACGCGGCCAAGAAGTCGAAGGAGCAGTCGGCGCGCGAGGCCAAGGAGGCCGAGCAGGAGGCTCGTCTCGCCCAGTACCGTCGCGAGCAGGACAAGGCCAAGTGCGTCCACACCTCTCTCTTCTTCGGCCGGGCCCTTCTTCAGCAGTGCCCGCATCGGTGCGCGCGAGGCGCGATCGGCGGCTCGCCTGAGCGCCGACCTCGGGGGCGCGTTCGGCGGCGGCTCTCGCGCCTCGACGACGAGGCTGTCGTCAGGCCCTCCAGAACGTCGCCGCGTTCACCCCATTGACCTGCCCCTGCCCCTGCCCTTCGTCCTCGCAGGCTCGCCGAGTCGCAGGCTGCGCGTGTTCGCGCTCGCCCGCGCTCGCAGAACTTCTTCGGCTCCGAGCCGCAGGCGCCGGCGGCCAAGGTCGTTGGCGGCGGCATGTCGGCTGCTCTCGACCCGTCGAGCGGGTCGCTCATCTGGGACTGAGCGTGTCTCGGCATGTCGAGGTCCTGGTCGACGGCCGCTTCGGACGAGGGTCGGTAAACGAGGAGGATGAGCGCGGGCGACGTGTGGCCGCCGCACCATCGCAAGGTTCGATAGCCTTGTTCCTGCATGTGTTCTCTTGCAGTAGCGTCGTTTTGCAAGTCGTTCCCTGCACAGCTCGAGTCGAGAGCGCGGGTTCCTCTCGTCTGCGAGCCTCTCCTCCTCGCTCTCGTCTCGCCGGCTCTCCTTGTCACGCCGCGCCATGACCGGTCTGCCGCCAGCCGAGTCGCTCTTTGCCGCGATCAGGGAGTCGTGCGCCGCCTGCACTGCCCGCTCCAGCATCTCTGTGCGTGAGTCTCGCTCCTCGTCTCCCCGCACTCCTCGTCCTCCTCAGAGATCCTGACGACAGTCTCTTGCCGGCAGATTGACGGCCAGGCCATCGACACGTTCATCTCGGGCATCAAGCAGGAGGACTGGACCCCCTCGAACCATGGCTTGCGCATGCCGCTCGCGTTCGAGTCGGTCGAGGACGAGTTGAACGTTCTCGCGTGAGTCCCTCCCTCGTTCAAGAGTCGGCCAGGCCTAGTGCACAGCCTGCCGAAGCCTCCTGCCCGCGCTCGTATCACCGGTACTGCGCCTTTGCCGGCGCAGCGAGCTGACCACTGTCTCCTCCTCCCCGCCCTCTCCCTCCGCCTGGCCCTTCCCGCCGCACAGAACGCTCGCCCTGCTCAACTTCCTGAGCGGGTACCGCTATGTGCTCCACCGTATGGCCCGGTCGCGGCGCTACAGCACCATCCTGTCGACCGTCCTCGCCGCCTACCTCTCGTCGCCCGACTCGCTCCTTTCGACCACCGGCATGATCGGCGCCTCGGCCGCGCAGCTCGCCAGCCTCGCCCGCATCAGCACTCACACCGAGCGGCAACACGAGTCGCTCCCCGTCACGGTCGGCGTCAAGGACGACGAGGCGCTCGAGGTCCTCGAGCTCCTGGCCGGCGTGCTGCAGCAGACGGGCGCGGCGTTGCGAGCGGCAGGGCACGAGTCGCTCGGGGCGTGGGTACACGAGTCGCTCGTGGCGGCAGAGGGAAACGCAGGGGCTTTTGTTCACGACGTACGTCAACTCTTTTCGCCTCGGGACCCTACTCGCCCGGAGCTGCGACTCGACCTTCGTACTGACCCAGTCGATCCCGCAGCTTGCCTCGACCTTCCCGGCCTTTCGCGACGTTCACGTCGTCGATGGCGAGCCCGTCTACCTGTTCAAGAAGGCGCTCTGGCTCGCGACCGTCGTTTCGCTGCGGTTCAAGGGCGAGAACGTCTCGTTCCAGGTGCCGGCGGTCGTCGGGACGCCAGTATTCGCCGACAACGTCCTCCCTAGTGCGTCCCAGTTTCTCTCTCGCACTCTACGTCGTACGGGATCTGACCTGCCCGCCATTACCAGCACTCCTCGTCCACCGCGGCATCCTCTCCCTGTCGTCGTCTACCGACCCTGCTCTCGCCGCCCTTTCGCTCGCCAAGCCCGACACTCTCCTTCTTTCCTCCGACTCGGCGACGCGCCTGAGGGCAGCCGCCGTCACTGC